CATGGGCAAGAAGCACAAGAAGCACAAGACCGAGTGGCGCTCGTCCTACGAGGGTGAGGCGGCGGGCGCGCTTTGTGACGCCGGGCGGGCGGGCGTTCGCGGCGGGCGGGGGTCCCGGGGAGGCTCCCGGGCTCGCGGGCGGGGTCCCAGGCGCCGGGGTTCCGGGATCCCTAGCTGGGGTTCCAGGCGGGAGGCCAGGCTTCCCAGGCATCTGGTTCGCCTCCCGAGTCCGTAAGGAAGGAGCGAAGCACCTCTGTCGGCCCTTGTCGGAGAACTTGGTAACTGTCTCTGTCCCGCCTCCTGCCTGCAGGTTCCTGCAGGAGCCGTGAGCCCACACCGGTGCCTACTGCAGGACAGAGGGGGTGAACACGGGCCAGGAGCTTGGGGATGGGGCGTCAGGCTCCTGGGTCCCATTCCTGCTTTGTTCCTTCACCCCGACGGTGAGGCAAACTGCTTTCCTCCAGGCCTCCCTGAGGATAACGCAGCACGAAGGGGAGAGAACACCCAGCTGCCTTGGGGTTTGCCTCACCGACTTTCCTTGATGGTTCTGCCATCCCCCTGCCTGCTGCCTTAGCATGGCCAATCCCGCCACCTCCTGGGGCCTCGGCGATCTCCTGGTCACACCTGCACATTGGGCCAGCCCTGCCACGCAGCTGGGTAGTAGCTTGTGCCTCTACACATCGCGAGCACCCGGTGAAGCCTGCTGTCTCTGTCTACAGATTACACAGACAAGCCCTTGGAGAAGCCCCTGAAGCTGGTCCTCAAGGTTGGAGGAAGTGAAGTGACTGAGCTCTCAGGGTCTGGGCACGACTCCAGTTACTATGATGACAGGTCAGACCACGAGCGCGAGCGACACAGAGAGAAAAAGAAGAAGAAGAAAAAGAAATCGGAGAAGGAGAAGCACCTCGATGACGAAGAAAGAAGGAAAAGAAAGGTAAAACACAGTCGCAGTTGGCATGTGGTGGCCCCAAGCCCTCCAGAGGGCAGCCCGTAAGTGCTGCGGGGCCTCAGGAAAGGGTTGTTCTGTTTGTAGCAAAACAGAAATCAGGAAGGTCCTTCACTTTGTTTCTGGCTCTTTGTGCATCGTTTCTGACCCAAGCTGCAGGGTGGTCGTTTAAGGTGGGAATCTGAAGCGAGAAGTGCCTCTGGAGGGGGGTTTTCTCTCTTAGCTTCATGTTTCCCCTCAGTTACAGGAGATCTGTTTAAAACTGCTTGCCTTGCTCTCGCTGCCCTGACTCTGCCTCACAGGAAGAGAAGAAGCGGAAACGGGAAAAAGAGCATGGCGACACGGAGGGAGAGGCCGATGACTTTGATCCTGGGAAGAAGGTGGATGTGGAGCCGCCCCCTGATAGGCCCGTGCGCGCGTGCCGGACGCAGCCAGGCGAGTGGAGCGCTGTGGAGGCTTTCCTGGAGCTTCATGGCTCATCTCTGTGACCTCGTGGCTGGCGCTGGCGTGCCCATCAGCTCCCTGGGAGGAGCACGGGAGGGAGGGAATGCTGTTTTCCCAACACGAAACGTAGCTGGGCCTGAGGTCTTACTGTCCCCTCTGAGCTTCTAGAGCAGGGCTTGGCCAGTGACTTCTCCTGTGTTTCACTCCTCTTTAAACTCCTGAGCTCATCGTGGATGGGAGGAAACTAGTACTCGGGTCAGTCACTGAGGCTGTCAGAAACCACGGGGGCTTTCTGTGCCAGCCTCACCAAAGGAGAGGCTCTGAAATGCTTGGGAGTCTCTGATCTGTGTGCGGTCACTTCCCACAGGCTTTCACGTAGTCAGGAGGCACTGAGGGACGCAGTCTTGTCTCAGGCGTTTCTTTTCTGGACTTTGGGTTTGACTGCCTACAATTTGGGAGGGAGGAGGGGGTGTTGTATTGCAGGCATTGTGGGGGTGCTGTGTTCCCGCAATCCCTGTCCCCTGTGCAGGTTAGTGCCATGGTGGACTCGGGGCCGCTAGGCACGGTGGGGCACAGAGAAGGTCAGACGTGAAGTCTGCGGAGTTTGGACAGTCTCTGGTCACCGTGAGCTTAGTCTGAACAGCTGCTCACTTGAGGTCACATGTGCAGTGCTTCCCTCACCGTGTGCCTGAAGAGCTGCTCTTCACACGTGCCCTGGTCACTATCTCTGTTGAGGACCCACTGGAGGTCTGCACTCCTGTTGTGCTTCAACCCTGGAACCAGCCATTACCCCAAGGAGCCCTGGTTCCTTTGCGCAGCATGGCATTCAGAAACCGAGGTCTGGGTGCTGGGTGTGGCCCTCAGTGGGTGGCACGAGGATAGATCACACGCATTCTCACAGCTGAGAGAACAAAAGCAACGCTGGCCAAAATCCACGTTTTCACACGGTGGGCCCAGAGACGCAGTTAACGGCAGCTCTCACAAGAACCCTGGCGCGGTGTGTATTTGAGTGCCTTTTTCACAGGTGAGGAACGGGCATGACCAGAGGTTTAGGACTCCCAAAATGATAATTGGTGAAGCTCCAGCTCTGTGTCCAAAGCCTCTGTCCTCTTCTTTGTAGTGTGTCTGGGATGTACCGGGCCCGGTAGTGGCCTGGACGGTCATAGACTGATGAGTGACAGCTCCCTGTTGTTGTGCTAAGGGTGTTGGCACTCTGAGGGGTTTTGGGGACTGATGCTGTGATGGAAGTCCTTTCCCACCCAGCTGAGCTGGTTGGGGGCCAGGCCTAGTCTGGTTTATTCTGGTACCCAGTTCTGATTGGAACCTAAAACACTGTGAAACATGAAATGGCTAATACACACTGTGGAGTTGGAGCTCTCCAAATTCCAAAATCTCTCGACTCATCTTAATTTTTTTATTTTTTGACTCATCAGCTGAGAACGAGAGCACGCCTATTCAGCAACTGTTAGAGCACTTTCTCCGCCAGCTCCAGAGGTAAACAGATTCTCAAGAGCTTGAGCTTGGGAACATTCGGGGTGTCTTCCCTTGTGAGGTGTTCTTCTCCCAGCTCTACCACCTGTGGAGCAGACCCTCGCCTAGTCTGGTGGGGGGTGGTCAGGCGCGTGTGGGAGCAGTGTGCAGGGAGAGCTCCGTCTGCCAAGTCCTTGCAGGTTGGTCAAGACCGCCGTGATGCAGATGTCATGGCTGGAGCCGGGACGGCAGTTTGGGAATTTTTAGTCATCAAAAGACCTACCGCAATTCTAAAGAGCATAGGTTTTATTTTTAAGATAGTAACTTAAAACTTGGTGAGTTGTATTACGTATTTGTCATGACGGGTTTTGTATCACTTGAAAACCTAGATTTATGGTTTTCCCAGTTTAAATAAAGATGTTTTTGTTTTCAGAAAAGATCCTCATGGATTTTTTGCTTTTCCTGTCACGGATGCAATTGCTCCTGGATACTCAATGATAATAAAACATCCCATGGATTTTGGCACAATGAAAGACAAGATTGTAGCCAATGAATACAAGTCTGTCACAGAATTTAAGGTAACCTGGTTTCAGTTCCTGAAATCCCTGCTATGAGGCTCTGTGTGTTTATGTCCAGTGAACACTTTGTCTACTTTAGCTTGTTCCCGGTTGCAAATTTCCGTGGGCATTTGAGTGTTTGGGTTGAGGTCACCCAAACACAGCATCGGGGGGAATGGGTTGGCTGAAATGTCCTCTGCATTTTTGTCTGGAAGCCTGACCATATGTTGCAAGCCATAGGAACACATTGGGTCACGCAGGAGTGTGTCGGTTTGGTCTGGCTCCAGAGTGGGTATATCTAGAAATGCAGTTTTCCTAATTTTTAGTTTTATAGTAACTGGGAATTTAATTTTTTTGAATAATAAATTCTTAATAACACCTGAGTACATAGCTCTTAAATCTGTTTCTTGTTACCACCTATGAGGTGGAAATTACATCTCGGCTTTGAAACCCAGGGGGGATCAAAATGAGTGCTTGAAAGCTTTGGCAATCATGTCATTTATGAAAGGGCTTTCTTTTCTTAGTTTTGGTTAAATTTGGAAGGCTTGACTTTTTTATTTTCATTTCCTGGTGATGTGACAAGGTTTGCCGAACTGTGGAAGCAGTGCCATGCGAAAGGGTATTGCATAGAGTGGGCGTTTCCTCCGGAGGGTCGGGCACTGCCCCAGGGCAGATGGCTAGTGGCAGCCTGCAAGTCCTTCAGTTTCCTAACTTGGGTCCCAGTTTGGTCTGCTGCCCAGTGACAGTCCTGGATGTGAGCAGCGTCCCCCTTTCCCTACGTTCTCAAGACTGGTACCTTGGGGCCAGCGAAGGATGGGGGCTTCACGGCCTCAGGCCCAGCCCCAGGGACCTTGGTGTGGGGCCATGCTGGAGCTCGGGAAGGGCCGGGATAGTTTGCACTGTGTTCCCTGGCTGGCTTTAGCTGTCCTTGTGCATCCTGATGGCTGACTCACCTGTAACAGGTGTGTGCCATATGTAATTTGTTTAGGGTGACAAAATACTGAGGTTTCCGATAGTTTATTTTTAATACAGGTTGTTCAGTAAGAGTTTCCTTGTGTTAGTGGAAGTGTTTGCTCTGATACTTGTAATTACCTGTAGACAAAATTCTGAATTCTGTGGAAAAATCCCAGAGATAGAGGACACAAATGTGCCCTGGTTTCCGCTCATCCCTTGGCTCTAATGAAAAGAACGTGGCTGTCGGTTCTTGTTCCTGTTTATGTCTGAGTTCCTCCCAAAGCGGGAGAGCTGGAGACAGAAGAGAGGGCTGCCGTGTTCTTACAACATGCGTGTGTCACACTCAGGAGGAAGTTTGAGGCTTGGCAGGCTTCTCACTGTGTGCAGGGAAAGACCAGTGAACAATTAGGAACATTTTTCTGAAGGTCTGAAAACCATATGTTAAACTGAAGAGCCTAATCTAGTTGTTTCCCACTCACTTTTAGCCTCTTGATAGGAATCCAGTTTATGCTGTTGTCTTGGTGGTGTTCCAAATTGGATGGTACTATTTTTTTTTCCCTTTTCAGGCAGATTTTAAGCTGATGTGTGATAATGCCATGACCTACAACAGACCAGACACTGTGTACTACAAGTTAGCCAAGAAGATCCTTCACGCAGGCTTTAAGATGATGAGCAAAGTAAGAAGCCCTTTGGCAGCGAGGAGCCACAGAAATGAGAATTCTCCTCTGTGTTTTTATGCCTAAACAGAACCTCACCCCAGTGAATGACATGCTTCCATCCATCCGTCACTGGCCGCGGTGTGGATCCCTCTGCTCTAGGGTAGACGTCCCAGGCCACCCTCCCCTCCAGGCTCGCTCGCTCACTCTCTCTCTCTCTCTCTCTCTCTCTCTCTATCTCTCTATCTCTCTATCTCTCTGTGCTCCTGCTCATGATCCAGCTGTAATGTCTCCTTAGGGTTGGTGGAAAGTTCTGGATCTGTTGATCTGAGCCTGGGTGTCTTGTCTCACTGGATTGCAGCCAGCCTGTGATTTGTTGTTTTACGTGGCTGCCCCCTGAATCCAGATGGGACATCTTGGCCGTCCGGCGTGGCTTCCCAGATCTGTCCCATGAGCCAGGTTGCATGTGTCATGCATCTAGGACCAGTGCCTTGTGCCTGATCAGCCTGTAGGTGAGGTGCAGCCCCTGTGCCCTCTGGCCTGTCCCCTCGGCCAGCCCCGGGTGCTCCCGGCCAGTTGGCCGCACCTTTGGTGCTGACTCCCACCACCACCTCCCACGGTAGCGCCGTGGAGGTCAGCTGTTAGGCCAGGTGAGGCTGTGGCCATCCCCATCCCACCCATCGTCATGGCACCCTGGCTGTGAGGCAGAGGTAAAGCCCTGCTGCTCTGTCCTTTTTGATTCTAGGAGCGGCTGTTAGCTTTGAAGCGCAGCATGTCGTTTATGCAGGACATGGATTTTTCTCAGCAGGCAGCTCTTCTGGGCAATGAAGATACAGCCGTCGAGGAACCTGTTCCTGAAGTGGTACCTGTACAAGTAGAAACTGCCAAGAAATCCAAAAGGCCGAGTAGAGAAGTCATCAGGTAAAGAGAGGTGCATTTGCCTGTTGCGTGGGACACGCACCTCGGGAAGGCGGGTGAGGGGGCAGCCTGTGCTGGTGCCCACGGCCTTGGAGGAGCTCACAGACGGGCTGCTTGTGCAAGGTGGGGGGAGCACAGTCCCCAGGGGCTTGGGTCCACGCTCTAGCCTTAGGTGTTCCCAGGTGGCCGGCAAGCAACCTGGACCAGCCAGGACTTGTCCTGCAGGAGAGTCACTGTCACGCTGATGGACACAAGGTGCCAAAGGCGGGACAGTCCCTGCCACCACACATGGGCTCCGTCCTGGGTGTGTCACCGGAGCCCATCTGGCCACCGCTGTTCCCACATGCGTGTCGTTTGTGAATAATTGTTGGCCCTTCACTCCCAAGAGGTTCCCTCCCATGCAGAACGCATGCTGATGGCCTGGCTTGGCTGTCCCCTGCTCAGGGGACATAACTGTGCTGTGTTGGGCAGGCTGCATGCATGGGAGTGGGGGCTTCTTTCTCATCGTACCCCCTGCGCCCCCAGCTCCTGCAGCCGTACACCCTGAACCAGAGCAAGGGCCTTTTTGTAGGCTTGGGGTCCCCAGGCAGGGTTTGCTCCCGCAGCTCCTTAGAAGGGATCTACCTATTTGTTTCTAGACCCTTTCACAGGAGAGGCCACCTCCCTTGAGTGCTGCACCCAGTGACTCTTGACTGTTTAAGGAAGGAACTCCTTCACATGGGGCTTGTGGCCACCTGCTGGAGGCTTGGGATGCCCCTGGGGCCTCACGGCCTTGTGTTCGCAGCTCACATTTGTTGCCGGTGCTTCAGCCTGCCATGGAGTTCTGCCCCTTTTTCTAATGGTGCCTTGAATGACACTAGGTTTGTGAGCTTCCCGGCAGGTGGTAAGGTTCCCTTCGGGCAGCTCTTAGATGACTGACAGGTGAGGAACGTCTAGTGGCCGTTGGGTTACCCTTACTCTTGGTGGATGTGTTTTGTGTTGCTGTGGTTACAGCTAAAAGGACAGGATTAAGGTGTGCTTCCTGCTACCAGCCCCTGGTGACCTTGAGGAGTGTTAGGGGCTGGCCCTGGGGGAGGTGGGAGGGGCGTGTGCCCTGGCCCCCTGGTGACTTGTGCGCTGTTCCCGCTTCATAGCTGCATGTTTGAGCCAGAAGGAAATGCTTGCAGCCTGACGGACAGCACGGCGGAGGAGCATGTCCTGGCCTTGGTGGAGCACGCAGCCGACGAGGCTCGGGACAGGATCAGCCGGCTCCTCCCAGGGGGCAAGGTAGCATCAGGAGGGCTGGGCAGGGTGGCGCCTAGTTGATGCATTGGTCACCGCAGGGTCATGTTGGCTCCTGTCACCGGCCTCATCTCCTAAGTGGGAGGGGGCCTCCAGGGGCACCTTGAAGGCAGGACCCTCATGGAAGTGGTGTGTAGTGTGTGGACGCCCATGGACAGGCTCACCCTTTGGTGGGATGTTGATCACTGTTGCTGGAGGCTGGGCTCCACCAGGCTTCTGCACTGCAGCTGGAACCTTGTACCGGTGTGCTTGCATCTCTGTACCCCTCTGCAGTGCCCCGGGGGTTCCATGTGACCCAGGCATGGCCCGTGGGAGCCGCCCCAGCATCAGCTGCTCGTCCTCAGGAAGAGGCCCCACCATCTTTTGAGCACCTCGCCATAAGAATAGACCAGCATGTCCAGTAGAAACTGCGAGGGTCCTGTGTACAGTTTTAAGTCTGGTAACGAGAACAGAGGTGAAATTAATCCTGGTGCCTTTTACTTGACCTGGTATATCCGGTCTTATGTCAGCATGTACTCTGTATAAAAAAACCTTTAGAACTGTCCGTCCTTTTTCCCACATGAAGGCTTTAAGATGTGTGTGGGGTGGTATGTAAATAATTTTGAATGATGGTGTTTTAGGTATGCTCGGTTATGTGAGATATTGAGGTCAACGTCTTTGTACATCTTTAAAACTTCCTGGTGAAGAGTTTGAAGTTCCCTGTGTAGCTCGTGGTGTTGTGCTGCTGGACCCACTGGTCTGCACGCCTGTAGTGCTCTGGCCCCGGGGTCTCCAGGGAGCCCGGGCCCTGGGTGGGGCCCTCCTTGGGTGGGGCTCAGAAAGACCCAGTGCTGACCTGCCTGTACTCGAAGCGTGTGTGCACACCCAAACCCCCATTGCTCCCGGCACCACGCCTGCTTCGCTCGTCTCCGTCTTCACTCAACCCTGTCTTTCGGGTGTTTGAATTCCACAGCGAGAAACCTGACTGCAGTTACTCGGTCAGTGGCAATGGATCCCCTGTCCTCGCTTCCCCTCCCCTCCCAGCCCTGCACTCAGGCTCCACAGGCTCCAGGGTGCAGGCCCGAAGGCCACCGTCCTCCTGTTCCCCACACTGACATGCAGGTGTCCCTCTTCCTGGACCTTTCTGGTGGCCTTCTGAAGAGGAGTGGTTTTGTTTGGTGGTTGGTCTTTAAGTGGAAGTGAGCCCCTTGTGGTTTAGAGATGGAGCCTCTAGGCCGTCCACAGACATGGCCCTTGGTGACCAGAGTCTTGTTCTAGCTTATCTGGCTCAGGTTCTGACGTCCTATAAAATGGTTGTTTCTGGGTAAAGCCTCCTGTTTCAAAAGCTCTTTTAGAAGGGTCACAAGGAATCTGAGTTCTTCCAGTGCACACAGGTCTGAAATTAAGTTCGGGAATGTATGAGAGGGGCCTCTGTGGCCTTTCCCACAGGGAAACCAAGAATCTCCTGGCTTTCTGGGATTCATCCCAGTTAGGTCATACCGGAAGGCCTCTATTTTGTTGGCATGTCCATAGAAACTGCAACCGCAGGATGCTAGTCAGGGGACGGGCATTCAGTTGTGCTTTCTTGCAGATGGGTTATCTGAAGAAGAACGGGGACGGCAGCCTGCTCTACAGCGTGGTCAACACGGCCGAGCCAGACGCCGACGGTGCGTGGCCCCTTGCAGGGCTGGGCTTCTCCGAGGCCCTCACACTGCTTTGTTAGTCTCTGCACTGGCAAGGATTTTAAAACTTTGTAACCTGTTTGAGATCAGCATTTCCCCTGCAGAGCGTGGCACCAGTGGGAAGGCATAGAGATGAGTCCCCGTCTGGTTTCATGCTCCTGTATACGTCCCCCTTGACAGGACCCGTGTGTGATAAATGGACAGAGGGCAGTCGTCCTGTGGGGCGGAGGTCCTGGTCAGACCTCTTCTGCCCGACAGTCCCCAGCACAGGCAGCAGGACTGGAGCTGCACTCCCCCAGAGCTGTGGTTCTAGAAACCCTCACGGCCTGACTTCCTGGTACTGTCACAAAGGGTTTACTCAGTGAGGGCTCCCTGTGAGAAACCAGAGTGCTCAGTCTCCCACTCGCCATGCTCGAAAGAGGCCTAGACGTGAACTTTAGAAGAAATACCCCATTTGATTGTTGTGTTAAGGAAGATCTTGGTGGAGACACAGATGCCGGATCTGTGCGCCTGTGCAGTCTTTTCTGTGGGTTCTAAGAAGCATTTATGTACTTCTCCATCTCTTTGAAAAGTGTCTCGAAGGCTTGCCTTTGAGGAAAAGCAAAGCTCACTTGCACTTGTAATACATTCTATTCTCTCGCATGCAAAGGAAAATAAAATACTCTCCATTGTTCTCACCCACATGGGTGTGGGGCCACTCCCGCCGCCTGGGGCTCTTGGCAGTGTTCTTTAATGTGGACCTAGATAGGGACTTAGTGTTCTCTGACATGTACCCCCTGTGGACCCTGGCTGACTTCTCTACTCTGGCTGAAATGAGTGATAACTCCTAGCGTAGAAAGAGAGAGTGAAGGTTTGAGAATTGTAGTGGCTTCTGTAAAGCTGATCTTAGCTGGTCTTTGTAGAGAGCCCCTGAGCCTCCCTAGGTGTCCAGGTGAGGCAGTGTGGGGGCTGGGAGCTCCCGAAGCCACCTGCTCACAGCCTGGTCCCTTTACAGAGGAGGAGACCCACCCCGTGGACCTGAGCTCGCTCTCCAGCAAGCTGCTCCCGGGCTTCACCACGCTGGGCTTCAAAGACGAGAGAAGGGGCAAAGGTGCGTGAGGCGGCAGGTAGGGGCAGGGGGTCACAGCAGAGGTGTGGACCCTGAGTCCCCCCCCAAGATCTTCCTGGCTTACCTGTTTTTAGTACCGTAGTCACACGCTGGCTCTGAAATAGCAGTGACATTCAGGTCATTTGAAGTGAGGGGAGCAAAAGTGAGCGGGCAAGCTCCTGCTGTCTGCTCTTACCAGTGGGTGGGTCAGAGCTCCGTGCTGATGCCGGGGAGGGTGCACAAGGGTGTCTAGAGAACGATGGTGGGCAGGGGTGGGCGCAGTGGGGGAGGGGAGGGGGCTGACTGCTGTGCGGGCTGCGCCTGTGCTTCTGTCTGACAGGCATTTGCGGCCGGCTTGCTGGTTTTGGGCTGTGTCCGGGCGAGCAGCAGTTTTGTTCCCAGGGGATATTTTCTGTTCACACTGTGGTCCTACTGGCGTCAAGCGGGGAGAGGCCTAGAGGGCTCCCCCACACCGTTCCTCTCGAGCCCTGACTCCACATGGAGGTGCAGCGATGCCTCCTTCAGGGCACGGACCAGCTGAGTCCCTTGACCTGCCCTTGGCAGGCGCCTGCCCTCCCTGCAGGCTCCGTCCCCAGTGCCATCTGGGGTAGGATGGGATGCTGGTGCTCTGGCCCCTGCAGAACACGCACACTTCTCTGCAGTCATGGCTCAGACGTAAAACGAGGTGTTGAGGCAGTTCTGCTGGCTAGGCCCCAAATGCTGCTACTCTTGGGGTGTGCCGAGGGGCGGCATTTGCATGCAGAAGAAAGCGCGTGACGGTGGGGGCTAGTGGGGGGGCCTGGTGGGGGTGCCCAGCCTGCAGAACACCGGCACACACCTCATGCCCTTGTGCTCCCTCTCTTGCTCTCAGTGACGTTTCTCTCCAGCGCCACCACCGCGCTGTCAATGCACAACAATTCCGTATTTGGCGACTTGAAATCGGACGAAACGGAGCTGCTGTATTCTGCCTACGGAGACGAGACGGGTGTGCAGTGCGCACTGAGGTGAGCAGGGTTGGCCTAGGCGCGCGCGGAAACGCGGACCGGCTTCTTCCCCGGCCCGCGGTGGGCGGCCTGCCTGTGCGTGTGTGGGGGCGACGGCCAACGGCAGTGGGTCCGCACAGCAGAAATTTCCACGTTACTTCCCGTCAACCCCAAGTGTGCCGCAGGTTGATGTCGAAGCTCTGGTAACTCAGCTGGTAGTGCGAGCAGGTGATGATCCAGGTTGTAGTTGGGAAAGGAATGTGTGTATGCGTGACCCGTGCTGTGCATGTTGAGTTTGTTCCATGACTGTATTGAAATGTGGCTTCGTGGCTATAGTAGTCCAAAACAGAGCACCACAGGCCGGATGGCTTAAATAGTAGGCATTTATCTTCTGGTGGTCCTGGAGGCTGGTCTGAGATCCAGGCGCAGGCAGGGCTAGTTTCTCCTGAGGCCTCTCCTTGGCTTGTAGACGCCGTGGTCTCCCTGAGTCCTCACGTGAGCATCCTGTGTGCGTCTCTGTCCTGACCTTCACTTCCTTTAAAGACACCAATCATAATGGATTAGGGCCCACCCTGAAGACTTCGTCCTAACTTAATCACGTCTTAAAGACCCTGTCCCCAAATACAGTCCACGTTCTGAGATACTGGGGTTAGAGCTTCAGCGTAAGAATTATGGGCCACAGTCGAGTCCCTGACAGTGATTAAGATGTGGTCTTAAAATCATAGATGCAGTACTGTGTTTTTGTAGAACTGTTTTTGTGTGTATTTTTTTGCTTTGTGTGCCAAGTAGAAGTGGGTCATTCTTACAGAAGTTTAGTAATTTTCCAGGAGGAAAGTAAAATTTTGCCAACCTCTAAGAAATGTTTTTTTTTCCACATTAGATCTTTGTTTAATTTGAAACCGAATACAGCGTATATTTTAAAAATGAACAGTGAGAAATCAGTTAGTCCTTATTACAGTAAGTGAGTACGTAACCAGGTTTTTGTGAGACCAAAGAAGTAGATAAGTGGAAAACCAAGGAGGGAATTTGTTGTGGGCGAGGACAGTATCACAAGTGGTGATCCTCTCCTTTACCCCACTGCCCTGTCACAGCCCTCCAGGGTCAGCAGCCACCTTCAGTTCGGGTGGCCTTGTCCAGTGCCCGCTCCTGAAGCACATATGGACTCTGGGTGCCGGACAACGAGAATCCCAGGCTCATGGGCAGCGCATGGAGGCGGGCAGACAGCGCTCCTCCCTGGCATCCCCATGTCACCTCCCCACGTGCTCTGTTCTGAGGCACTTCCAGACCACACCCTGAGTGTTCCGACTGCTCCCTGCCCCTTCGCACCTCAGTTTGGTGGTTTCTCCTAAAATGCTCCTGGTGTAGACTTGGGTGTTGTCACGGTTTCACTTCCAGACCAGCCCTCCTCTCTCTGTGAAGGTCTGACATCTGGAAGCCCTTCTCAGCCTCTGCCCAGGCTTTGATGCTAGGACTTAGGCTTTTGGTCTCTGCCTCCTTTTTAAATATTTTGGTTTTATTTATCTATTTATGTATTTAGCATTCCTGTTATCCAAAAATCAAAATGACCCTCTAGGGCGTATGCAGAGAGACGTGCTTCCGTATTGATCCCTCCCCTCGCCGTTGTGGAGCATCCTCCTCAATCTACCTAGGTTTTTAAATCCAATAAAAAAAAAAAGAAAATTATCCTTCTTTTACAGAAGTTAGTGTAAGATATCTGGTTGTCCCTTGAGCAACACGGCTTTCAATTGTGCAAGTCCATTTACATGCGGCTTTTTTTCTTTTCGTTAAATGTAGTACAGTGTTGTAAACGTATTTTCTCTCTGATCGTTTTCCTTGTAACGTGTATTTTTTTAGCTTGCTTTATTGTGAGAATATGGTGCATAATACATATAATTTACAAAATCTGTATTGATCAGTGTTTTCTGTCATCAGAAAGGCTTCTGGTCAACAGGAGACTGTTCGTTAAGTTTTGGGAGAGTCAGAAGTTAATATGCAGATTTTCAGCTGCGGGGTTCAGTGCCCCTAATCCCCGTGTTGTTCAAGGGTCAACTGAATACATATAGGCTGTCGTTCACTTTTTTTAAAAATAATTTTCTCTTGAGATGTTCTTAACCTTTTTGGGTCACGGACCACTTTGAAGATCTGATGAAGACTCCTGATTCCCTCCCCAAAACTATATCTGGGAGGTTTGGTGCGCCCAGTAAGACGCTCTCACGGGGGAACGTCTGAGGAGGTGGGCTGACAGGGCGGGCTCCTGAGATCAGGACCACCGGCATTGGTGGAAGCATCTGGACGGCCGGAGCGTGTGCTGCGGTCTGGTCATGTGCTCTCGTGGCCCTTCCAGCCTGCAGGAGTTTGTGAAGGATGCTGGGAGCTACAGCAGGAAGATGGTGGATGACCTCCTGGACCAGATCACCGGCGGGGACCACTCACGACTGCTCTTCCAGCTGAGGCAGGTGGGTGCCCCGTGCGGGCCCTTGCTGGGCGCCCCCGCCCTGGGCTCCGGCCACTGGAGGAGCCCGTCCCGACCGACGTGGTTCTTGCTGGCTGTTCTTCCCTTACTGTTTTTTTATTTTCCTTTTTTTTTTCTGTAAATGGTTAATATTCTTTCAGAGGAACTTAAAAATGGTTGTCTCTGTTGACCACATATCCACCATTTCTGGCACTCTTTATAACTTTTTTTTTTTTAAGATTTTATTTATTTGACAGAGAGAGCGCACAAGTAGGCAGAGCGGCAGCGGAGGGAGAGGGAGAAGCAGGCTCCCTGCGGAGCAGGGAGCTGGACACGGGGCTCGATCCAGGACCCCGGGGTCATGACCTGAGCCGAAGGCAACCGCCAACCGACTGAGTGGCCCAGGCGCCCCTCTTTATAACTTTTTATATACCCGAATTTCTTTCATCTACTGTCATTTTCCTTCGTCCTGAAGAACCTTCTTTAATATTTCTTGTGGTATAGACTTGCTGACAGTGAATTTGCTCAGCCTTTTTTTTTTGTCTGAAAAACGTTTTTATTTTACCTTTATTTTTGAAATTCATCTTTCCTGGGTCTGGAATTACAGGCTATTGTTTTCCTGTCTACTTTAAAAGATGCCTGACTGCATTGTTTCCGAAGTGTTTGTGGTCATTTTCATCTGTGTTTTCCACCTGTCACCTCTTGTCTGGTCACGTCAAGGATTGGCAAATGTGGGCCCATGAGCTACGAATGTTGTTTTACCTTTCTTAAAGGCTGTAAAAAAAAAAAAAAAAAAAGTGTGCTACAGATCTCACATGGCCCACAAAGCCTCAAGGATTTGCTCTTCGGTCCTTTGGAGAAAGGTTACTGAACGCTGCTCTAGATGCTTTTATTTTTTAATTTTTATTTTTTATTTTTTTAAGATTTTATTTATTTATTTGACAGAGAGACACAGCGAGAGAGGGAACACAAGCAGGGGGAGTGGGAGAGGGAGAAGCAGGCTTCCCGCCGAGCAGGGAGCCCGATGTGGGGCTCGATCCCAGGACCCCGGGATCATGACCCGAGCTGAAGGCGGATGCTCAACGACTGAGCCACCCAGGCACCCCTGCTCTAGATGCTTTTATTTATTTATTTAAAAGATTTTATTTATTTGAGAGAGAGAGAGAGGGAGCACATGAGAGGGGGGAGGGTCAGAGGGAGAAGCAGACTCCCTGCTGAGCAGGGATCCCGATGCGGGACTCGATCCCGGGACTCCAGGATCATGACCTGAGCCGAAGGCAGTCGCTTAACCAACTGAGCCACCCAGGCGCCCTCTAGATGCTTTTAAATTTGAACCCTTGTAACTGGTTTTCAGTGGCTCGTTGTGTCTTGGTGTTCTTCATGTTTATTTCGCTTACCAGTTGTCGAGCTTCTTGGACATATCAGTTTATAGTTTTCATCAGATTTGGAAGATTTTTGTCCATTATTTCTTCAAATACCATTTCTGCCCACACCCCACTTCTGTCATTTTTCTAGGACTTTGACACAGGTGTTGGAGATCTGGACCTGTTCTGCATGCTGTTAATGCTCTGTTCCTTTTTAGTCTTTTTTCCATCTTTGCGTTTGGTTTCTGTTGCCGTGGCTCCAGTGGAGTGATCTGGTTTAGAGCCGCGTCTACATCTGCTGTTAATCCCAGTCACTGAACTTCACTTCACGTGTGTGTTCATCTGCCTTTCTTTCACGTTATATTCATGCTTTCCTTTAAATCTTTGGACCTATTTATAATATTTAGTACGGCTGCTTTTAAAGTCCTTATTCGCTAATTCTGTCATCTCTGTCACTTCTGGATTTGCCTCTCGGCATGGTTTCCTCTGTTTATAGGCCACAATTTGCTGCTTTTTTGTTTGATTGGATCCTGGGTGTCACATTGTTGAGTCTCTTGTGCAGACCGTGCTGATACCGCAGCCAGCGGCCACAGGTGGCTGGTGGAGATTTTACTGTGGCTCGTCTGAATTTAGATATGACGAAATGTGAGCTACAAACCAGAATTTTAGAGACTAGTACAAAAAATGAAACGTAAAAATTTTTCATTGATTTATTGGGATCATACGTTAAATGTTTTCAGTACATTAGATTAAGTAAAATACGTTACTGCAGTTGCATGTTAACATTAATTTTCGTTGGCTACTAGAAAATTAAAGTTTGGTGTATGCCTACGTTATAGTACTGCTGGGCAAGGCTGGTCTGGTTTACCGTGTTCCTTTAAAGAACATTGATGTTCCTTTTGGCAGAGTCCTTGTGAGTCACCTGGTTTCTTGGGGTTTGTTTTTAAGCTTTCTTAGGGCAGGTTTAGGAGGCCTTTATGTTGGGTGAGTTTGGCCCTGATACTAAGGAATGGCTCTTCTGGGGTCTCCTGTGGTCGCCAAGTTTCAGTGAGGACTTAGCTCTGGCCGGGTGGAGTACAGATGTGTGTCCCCATACGTGCCTGGCCCCACAGTGTCCCATCTGTGTGTGCACAGTTTAGTGTCAGCTGGGTGTGTTCCTCCCGGATTTGTGGAGCTCCTGCTGGGAGCTGTGTCTTCCTCTTCAGACTTTGCCCCACCAGCCGCCAGCCAGTGAACTCTCACTTTTCAACGTGTGCTTGGCCACAGTGCTCCAGATGCTGTTTTCTGTACTGTGGTCTGAAAGTTTACTCCTGGGGCTGCCCCTGGGCACAGTGTCTGAGCTGTGACTTTATGCTGTGTGGTGCTTATAGCAGGACATTAAAATAGTGGCGATATTTATTTTTCTACTCAAGTTTATAAAAATTGCAGCACGAGGGAATTTCCAAAACATTATCACAAACAAAAGATCTCAGGTGCAGAAGTTTGCAAGCTGAATGATTGTTTTTAGGTACATGCACACAACTAGGGTATTTTGAAGGTGATGCTCCGGCCAGATTGTAGAACAGTTAGGTTTAGGCTTGTGATCTCCACACGTGGCCACATGTACCTGGGGGTCCCTACAGAATGTGGTCACGTGGTAGTGGTCCCAGGTGACGTTGGGTCCCACTCAGGTTGTGGTCACATAGTAGTGGTTAAGTGTAAGCCTCTTGTAGGTATTGTGCAGCCTGAGGAGAAGGGTAGTGGCCCCGTAGCCCAGGCCATCTGAGGGCCCTGGTGCCTCTTCATCCAGCAGGTTAAACCACCAGGCCTGGTATTTTTCCTGCGTTACCCCTGAGACACAGGGTACAATGTTGGACTTTTACTTTGTGTTTTAAGCTGTCCAGCGCTGCAGGAACAGGTTGGGTGCTCTCCCACTTCCTCTCTACCCTGTCCAGGGTGCTCCCAGGGTGCCTGGCCCACTGGGGATCTTGGCTGGGGCTACGTGAGTTGGGCCCTCCGTGGGTCGAGTTGGCTGTCTCGCTCAGTCTCTGCCATCTCCATGGAAGCAGGCAAGGCCCAACTCTGACTCACAGTATGGTATGAACATCATGGGGACAACCCCAGCAATAGTGAATAAGCTGTTTTTAATTCATACTTGTGTACATGATGTGAATGAAATGTTCTATATAAAACTTTTGGAAAAACTGGCTTCTCACCTGTTTTGATTTGCAGAGGAGAAATGTTCCAGTAAAGCCTCCAGACGAAGTGAAGGTGAGTTGTATAGTCATGTAAGTAAAAACCCAATTATTAGCGTTCCTGTGGGGAACGGTCATGTTCAGCCTCTGATACTGGGTGGCTGAGAAGAGGTGCGTGTGGTGTTTTATTGAGAAACTGATTAAGTGGTAGTCTCCTCCGCCGTGATTTTTAATGACTGGGGCGAGGGATGGAAAGCCACGGCACTTCCCCTCCAGCCCACACACAGCAGCTGCAGAGCAGTGGCCACGCCGGGGGCTCTGTCTTCACAGGTGTCTGGGAGGGGTGGGCCTGCTGGGGCCTGTGGAGCAAGGAGCAAGCTTGGTTTCTGGTGTGGTGGGTTCTTCCGGCCCTCCCAGTAGGTACTGTGTGCTGTCAGCCAGGTGCGTGTGCACTGCATACTTGTGAGTGAGGCCAGCTTGACAGATCCATGTCCTCAGGGCATCCCCAGCACCCAAACTAGACTGCATATGAGGAAACTTCACTGTGGTCTGGCCTTGGTTTCCCCATTTTTCTTGTCCCTTGGGAGTAACTTGGAGCGTGCATGTTGACAATAAGCTTTGAACACACCCTCTGTGTTGGAGCAGAGGCACCAGGCCTCTGGGCAGGCTGTGGGGGCCTGGGTCACAGGTGTTACCTGGCCTCGGTGGACGGAGGGCCCGCTCTGGAGGCACGTCAGGTGCCCATCAGGTGGGGCTCATCGAGTGACAGAATGGGGAGGGTGGCATGGGTGTCTCCCCTGAGGGGTGTGCCTTGGTGTGGCCAGATTTGAGATGCAGGCAGGGCTCTGCTCAGGGTCTCTCGGTTACGCAGATGTGCCGTGGCATGGAGCCTAAGTCCCACGTGGTTTCTGTGCTGTCGGCTGTGTTGAGCTGGGAGCCCAGTGCTCCCTCGGTCCTGCCGCCAGCGCCTGCACGCAGACAGCCCTGGGAGCTTTCAGAAGGGGCCTTCTGCGGTTCCAGGAGCACCAAGCCCCGGTTCCCCACCGTCCTCCTCAAGCCTGTGGTTAGCAAGCAGCTGTTGTGTGTCTTTCCCGTTGGCAGGCGGTGTGCGGCCTGGCATTGGCGAGGAGGCGCCGGCCTCTCCTCATCTCGCTTCGTTCCGTCGGGGCTTGCACCCCCCACGGCATCTGTGGCGGTGTGCTGCCGGCACCACTTGGGGCTCCCAGACATTGCTGCAAATATAGCAGTTGTGTTTTTCTTTAGACTTAAATTTTAACACACTCAAAGGCACAGACTCTAACGACAGTGTCCTTTTCAATGCTACCTTGGAGCGTAGATCTCCATACTTAACAAGTATGCAGAACTGGCTGATGGAAAGGTGGGCACCAGAGTAGTTTCCTGTAGGGGAGCCACAGGGCACTCTCACCCCCGGGATGCTTCTGGGGGTGTGGGGGACTGTGGCTCTGTGTGGTTTCTAGGGAAAGAAATTGTGAGCAAGCCAGCTTTTTACAAATTGTTCTTACAGGCTCCACCTTGCCTCATGTTTTAGGGTCATCAGATAAACCTATGAAACCTTGAAAGCCATAGCTGTGGGATGATTGTCCCAGCCATGTAAGGAACAAGGGCCTTGTGCTGGGCCCTGGGCAGGATAACAAACAGTGCCAAGCCTCAGTCTCTGGTTGCAGAGCAGGGTGGTAATGCTGGGGTGGTTGTAAGACTATGGCAGCACTCACCACTGGTGTCTGGCTACTGCCATGCGCTGTAAATGTGAGCTCTGCCTGGTGTGTTGATGGCCCAAAGTCATCACTGTAACAATTCGTCTTGAGACGAATTATTATTTATTTATCAGAGTGTAGACAGAAGTGACTTTTATGAAAGTCGAAACAAGCAAATTCTCGGATCACCCCAACAAGACAGTCCAACAGAATGGGGTTCACACCCAGATGAGACAGCCCAGTGGGAGAGGGCTCACACCCAGGCCCAGACAGTCTGACAGGAGAGGGCTTACACCCAGAGAAGACTGACGGGAGAGGGCTCACACCCAGAGAAGAGTGTCTGATGGAAGAGGGCTCACACCTAGGCCCAGACAGTCTGACGGGAGAGGGCTCACACCCAGAGAAGACTGTCTGATGGGAGAGGCTCACACCCAGGCCCAGACCATCTGACAGGAGAGGGCTCACACCCAGAGAAGACTGTCTGACGGGAGAGGGCTCACACCCAGAGAAGAGTGTCTGATGGAAGAGGGCTCACACCCAGGCCCAGACAGTCTGACAGGAGAGGCTCACACCCAGGCCCAGACAGTCTGATGGGAGAGGGCTCACACCCAGAGAAGACTGTCTGATGGGAGAGGCTCACACCCAGGCCCAGACAGTCTGAAGGGAGAGGGCTCACACCCAGAGAAGACAGCTGACAGGAGAGGGCTCACAGGCCTGGTGCCCCCTTGCTGAGTAGCAGGAGCTTCAGCTTCCTCCTCCAGGTCGCTGTGAGTTGCTGGGTGGAGGTGGACACCTGTCCGTGCTGTCCAGGCTGGTGGGGACCCTGCATGAGCCTTCAAGCTCTGGGGAGGGCAGAGGGTGGGTTGGGGGCATGTGAAATGCCCCTGCGCAAGCCAGGCCCACAGACTCTCTGCATCTGCCGTAATGTGGACTCTTGTTTAACTATTTGGTGAAGAAACTGTCCCTCCAGGGCATGTGTCAGGAGGGCACTGTTACTGGACAGTAACTTCCCATCAGTGACTTAGGATCCAGCACCAAGGTGAGAGTGTGACTTGGCAGAATTTGAGGGCCTTGGGGTCTCAGGTGGTAGATCTCCCTTAAAATACCAGAGATGACCCCTCTGTGATTATTTTAAAAATAGCCATACGTTAGCTATTATCTTAGTATCTTTGAACAACAAACGGGCATGGACGGTTTGTGGGTGGCGGGGAGTAGGTCTCGGGCCGCACAGCATAGTTTCCATAACGATGCAGAGCAGGGGCTTGACACAGGAGAGGGGCAGGGGGTCCTGGGGCAGCCGCAGAAGGGAAGAGAACATGCTGGCTTGGAGTCTGCCATGCTGTCAAGTGTGGTCCCTGAGAAGTAGCCGTGAGCCCTTCAGATCCCGTGTGTCTGCCTGTTGCAGGGACCTTTCCCACATGCCCTCAGCGGCACCCACTCCTGAGCTCACCCCAGTGGTCGTGGGTTGCAGCGTGGACTGGACACAGTGTGGTCTCACCTGCTTCCCGGGGAGAGCGGGCCTGTCCCACCTGTGGCCGCAGGGCACTGATGCCCCTGTTGCTCCCGTGAGTTCAGTAGCTGGTGTTAACTGCCCACCCAGTGACATCTCTCCTTTTCTGCTTGGTCTCTACCTGTCTCCCGCAGGCTGGGGACTCGCTGGGCGACGGCAGCTCCGTCCTGGACTTCATGTCGATGAAGTCCTACTCTGACGCCTCTCTGGACATCTCCATGCTCGGCTCTCTGGGTAGGTTGTGCTGGGCTCGCTCACACCATCAGGCTCTGCTGGAAGAAGTGGACCCTGTGCTCTTGTCCCTGGTGCTGCATTCGTCTGCTGGGCGGTCCCCGGGGGCGCAGGGCTGGGGCACTGAGGCCTGTCCTTGCTTCCAGGAGTCTGGCCGCCATCCTCCGGACCCCCTCCCAGATGGCCCCAAAGCGGGGTTGCCCCAGTCTCCTTTCAGATGTCAGGCTCCATGTGAAGGATCGCCAGGGTCCCTCAGCCTGGTGGTTCATGCAGGGCCAGGCTGCCCACTTCGGCTTGCTGTTCATGCGTTTGTGTGTGCACGTGCATCCACGCGGCCCCCAGCACGCAAGACGTCCTCTGTGCTCTGCACGGCACTCGGGGTTTCGGAGTCTCCTTGGCCACCCACCTCCCTGATGACCAGTGGTTCTCGTGGTGTTCCTTCTCCCCTCCTTTACTTTGGACACACCTGAGCTTTACTGTGGGGCTTCTCACCTGAGAGCAGTAACCCCCCCGCCCCCGTCATTGCGTGTGGCAGTGTCTGGAGACATCTTTGGCTGTCACACTTGGGGTGTGGCGCTTCTGACATGGAGGGGCGGAGGCCAGATATGCTGCTAAACATTCTGAAGCACAGGGAGCAGCCCCCCAAGAACGACCCAGCCCCAGGGGTCACTGCTGCTGAGGATGAGAAACCCTGCCTACGTCAGAAGTGGGTATCGTCAGACCTGCAGAGTGTGTGAGGCCAGGTCTTGCTTTGTTATCCAGCTCAGCAGTCTCTGCCTTTGGTTAGAGTGTTTTTAGACTGTATTTAGTGCAGTAACCCTATCCAGTTCAGGTCTAACATCTTGCTACTGGTTATTTTCCCAATTGTTTGAGGGTCCCCCGCCTACTGCCAGATTTGCTGGTTGCCTAGGACTCCTGGGATTCATGGCTCTGGTTTGTTAGAGCAGAGGGACAAACCAGGATCCACAGAGGGACAAGGTGCATGGGATGATTCTGCGGGGGGACCAGGTGGCACTTCCAGAGCCCTCTCTGCTTGGCATGTCCGCAGATCCCAGGCTCCTGGAAGCAAAGCAGGTGTTCGGTGGAAACCACATCGACTGCATGGATAGTTGAGGTGCAGAGAGCCCCTCTGTCACTGCAGTGGTGGGGACCCTTCGAGATCCAAGCTCAGCAGCCAGGGCCCAGCTCTGCCTTGGGGGCTGGCGGTCTGAGACTGCGGAATGAGCACTCTGCCAGCTTCTCTTTGTGTTTAAGACTTTCTCCTTTTTACTGGGTTTTGGTAGTTGGGTGATGACTTGCTTTGATGTGCTTTTGTTGAGATTGATCTTCTCAGGTTCGGTTCATCTTGTTGGCCCCGGGGGTTTGTGGGGTTCATCCACTCTGGGAAGCTGGGCCCCGGTTCTGCCATTTGTCGCGGAGTCTCCTCTGCTCCGTGTGTGGCCGTCCCTTCCACTGTGGCTGGCCTGCCATGGCCCTTCCCGGGGTGGGGTGCGGGTCGCTGTGGACACCCCTCTCTCCCTGTCTGGGGGCTCCATCGGTTTTTCCAGCGTCTCCCCTTCTGCCCTCGCCACTGTTTTCTTCTGCCTTTTGAGGAGGCAGTGCCCGGTCCCTGATGTCACGCCCGTCTTGTTCATGCCCTTCCTCCCATGGTTGGTGGGGCCGTTTCCCTGCCCTCCACCCTCCGGTAGCGGTTCATCACAGGCCAGACTCCGGCTCCACGGTCAGGTGCTATGTTGGGTCACGTGCCTCGGCGCTGTGCTGGATCTTGTCTGACAGGCCATCAGCGACTTGCAGCCGTTGGACCCTGTCCATGTTTTGCTTTGAGATGTTCTTAGGGTGGCCCCAAGCCACATTTAGTGTAGGCGGGACATAGTCCTACCATGGGGCCACACCCTTCTGCAGACTTGGGCCACGGATTATTGCAGACGTGTGTGAACTCCCCGGTGGGGTTGTGTCCTCTCATGCACACACAGGTCCCTCTCGGGCCAGACGTGGGAGCTCTCCAGGCAGCCCGTCTTCACCAGCTCTCAGCCTGCCCACTGCCCAGGGCACCCCCTGGCTCTGGCCTGTGTCCTGTCCTGGTGTCTGCAGGCCTCTGTAGCACACACTGTCCTGCTTCTTACTTGTTTATGCTGGTGGGGGCGGGGGGCAGCAACTCTGTGTGTGAAACGGCTCAGATTTGACATGGCACCTGGATTCTTGTCCACTCGGCGGTCCTGCCTCGCCTCTCATCCTGAGTGTGCATAGAAGTGAGGGAGAGACCGTGCCGGCATGCTGTGCTGGCCTAGGCAGCCGGATGCCTGATGTCCGTTCGTCCTGTTTGCACAGGGAAAGTGAAGAAGGAGCTGGATGCTGACGACAGCCACTTGAACTTGGATGAGACAGCGAAGCTCCTGCAGGATCTGCACGAGGCACAGGCAGAGCGCGGGGGCTCCCGGCCGTCCTCCAACCTCAGCTCTCTGTCCAACACCTCCCCCTCTGACAGGGACCAGCACCACCTGGGTAAAGTGGCCCCGGTCCCCAGCATCTGTGTTACTGTGCAGGTGCTGGGCGGCATCTGGATAAAGGGCAGGAGGGCCGGCAATCCTGGCACGTCGGAGCTAACGCAGGCCGCATGTCCAGCCTCCAGGGACTCCAAGGGCCCTGCTCCCTCTCCAGGATGCCCCCTGCCCCCTGGGGTTCCGAATAACCTCTCCCTCGTCAGGCAGCTGCACGGGGTGGTGTGTGAGTGGAATTTACGCAGTGTTAGGCATTGTGGGTCTTGTCTGTAAGGTGCTGGCCTTCTCAGTGTCAGGAGCCACATCCCGAGGCCCTTGGACTGGGCAGAACGAGGCCCCAGACGCTGACAGGCGTGTTGAATTCACCTCTGGGGATGTTTGTTTCTTCCTGCTGTTCCCATTTTTAGTCCTAAAACAGGGTATTGAGAAGTGCTTTGTTCTTCCAGGACCCTGATTTGGGGAGAGCAGGTGACCTTCCTTGGCCTGGGGCTTTCTCTCTTTAATGAGTGACAGGGTGGGTAGGTGCATGGACCCCACCAGGATTTCGGCCCGTCCGGGAAGGGAACCAGATACTGCTCCCTGGCCTCTTAAATCTGCTCAGTGAGCTCCCCATGCTGCTATTCCAGTCCCTGATCCCCAACTGTAACTCTGCAGAGCACCTCCTGACCTTGGGCAGTTGGGGGGCGCTTATCAGCTATAGACGTTTGAGTCCCAGCTCGGGGAGGTGAGGGGGTGGCCCAGGCCCTGGGAGAACGAGTCACAAGGACGTGTTTCCAGCCGGGGCTGAAGCACAGCGTGTGTGCAGACCCGTCGTGTGAACGCCGCATCTTTCCCACACTTGCAGGAAGTCCTCGCCTCAGTGTCGGGGAGCAGCCGGAGGTGACCCATGACCCGTACGAATTCCTTCAGTCTCCAGAGCCTGCAGCTTCTACGAAGAGCTAGCCTTGTAGTCTTCCATTATTTTTTTAATTTTTTTATTTGCATGTACAGAGTTTTTGTCTTGAGACAAAGACTTTCCTTTTGTCCCCTTTGGCGAGTGGGAAGCAGCCCCGGGGAGGTGGTGAGTTGTCTCTGATATCATGTCGGCCGTGCACAGATCCAGTGTGTCTGTGCACAGCCCTGTGAATCCTGAATAGTGGAGATCACACAGAACGGTGTGTGGCCGATGGGGTCGAGCTGGCGTGTGTTTGAGCTTTGCGCTGTCTGTAAAGCCCATCTGTGCCGCCGGCCTGGACACACCTTTCTGCCCCAGCGCCCTTCCTGAGAGCCTCTTGGGAAGCAGTCGTACCCATGGCAGGGTTCCTGCCTGTTCTCTGCCCTGCCTGCCCCCCACACCCCTGCATCTCCGAGGGAGGTCATGGGGGGGCTGCACCCTCCTGGCCCGGGACAGGCTCTGTGCTCCTAGTTCCTGTGCTGGGCAAGGCCTGCCTTCTGCTGGAAGACCACACTGCCTCCTGGTAACGGCCACGTGCTGTGTCCGTAGACCTTTCTGTCCCGGATGTGTTTACTGGATGCCTGTTTACATTTGCAAAACAGAAATCTCAATAAAATACACAGAGTGATTGTGTATAATTGTTAGTAGCGCCGTAAGTATCCACTTCTGAGTGACCTTTTAGTGAAAACCTTTGTCGGGAGAGGTCGACAGCGTCTGTTCGTGATGCTCACCTCCCCTTTCCTCTGCGTCTGGCCCAGGTCTCCCCCTGCAGTGACGTCCGACTTTACTCACCCTGCACAAGTTCTGCTGTGTTTCTTTTTTAGAAAACAAAATTAGGGGCTCTGTTACGTCCTGGGGTGGAGTCAGCCCTGGGAGAGAGTGTGGACCTGAGGCAGTGGGCAGCGCGACGTGCCCCAGCCCACAAGGCCACTGCCTACCGGGTGTGCAGGGCCCCTCGCGGACGTCAGAGGTCTCCCAACGTTGCACAAGCAAGCCAGCGACAGCAGAGGAGTGAGCCCCCTGCGAGGGTGAAGCCCCCAGTCAGGCTGCAGATCTGCCCCCAGCGCCCCAGCTGCCGGGAGGTCGGGTGGGGGCGTCTCTATTTCCCACCGTGGCATGGGGGTGTGCTCTGCCCCGCCCAGGGCTCCAAAGGTGAGGTTCTGGGCAGGGTGTGGCCCTGGGTTCTGGTGCTGGGTTGCCTTGCTGAGCCCTCGTTTCTCCTTGGCCCTCGGCCGGAGTTTGCAGCCATGCCTCCGTGACATGGACGTGGCACATGTTTGCAGGACCCGCTAAGACCGTATGAGCCGTGGAGCCCCAGACCCACCCGAAGGGAGTGGTCTCCAGCTCGAGGGCCCCACAGATGTGCCGGCAGCTTTAGGTGCCGCTGCCTCCTGATCACAAGCCTGTACTGCAGACGGGCAGATCGGGTTGGGTGGCTTGGAGACCCTGCTCTGGGCACGGCCTCTGCAGAGCCAGGGGCTGCCACTCAGAAGGCCACACGCCCGGCGACAGGGAAGACCAGGGGGGCGTCTGAGGACAGGAGGGCCCGCCAACCAATCTTTATTTCAGTGAAGGTCACATGATCTGAAATTAACCACTGACTGCTTTAAAGTATGCAACTGAGTGGCATTTGGTGCATTCACAGTTTTGTGCAACCAACACTTTTGTTGAACTCTGGAATATTTCCATCACCCCGAAAGGAAAGCCAGTCCCCATTAGCAGCGCCCCTCAGTCCCTCCTGGAGCCCCTGGTAACCACTCTGCTTTTGGCATCCATGGATCTTCCTGTTCTGAGCATCTTGTTTTAGTGGAGTCTTACACTACGTGGCCTTTTGTGTTTGGCTCCCTTCCCTCAGCACAGTGTTGGTGTGTCAGTATGGGCCCAGGGACCCCCTACCCTTGCCACAGACCCCATCAGGGCTCAGGCTGCTCCTGGGTATGTCACAGCCATGAAGCGGGTCCTGGGGCTTGGGTTGTCTCACTGGGCCTTCTGCTCAAGGAAGCCAGCAGGATTCCGGTCAGAACCAACAGATGCTCTTGGTGCTCAGAGTGAGCAGGTGCCCAAGGTAGGGGGAGTGTCCCTCAGAGCCACGCTAGCCAGGCATTGGCCACAGACCGCACAGCAAGACCACGGTGCCTCAACCACACTGTTGACATGCCAGAGAGAGGGGCTGTCTGGGTGGACAGTGCTGGACGACGGGGATTCATCTTCCTGCTCTCTTTCTGCTGAAAGCTACACTCAGAGCAAGACCAGCGATGGGGAGAGTTTGCACACGTTAGTGTGTGTGCATATGTGGGCTCCTATGTGCATTTGTGTTCATGCACGTGGGTACACCTGTGAGCGCGAGCATGCACGTTGACGTCCGGGCACGTGTGTAATTTTGGTGCACGTGTGTGCGTGCACATTCGTGTCAGTACATGTGTGTAGGTGTGTGTGTGTGTGTTAGTGCATGTGTACATGTGAGTGCCTGCGCTCTACCATCCTGCACTCTGTGTTGTTCCCCACCTCCCCCACAGTGTTGACCTTGCAGGGGTGGGGCATCTCAGCTGTGTGCACAGGGGGATTGCAGGCAGGCTTAGAGAAGCACCACTCGTGATGAAGGTCGTGAGTGACCTTGCTGTCAGGCCGGGTGGTAATCGTACTGGGGAGTGCTCTGTGCTCCATAAAAACAATGTGGGCACGGCCGTTGAGGGAACAAGAGTGGGTTGCAACGTGGGGGCTAATTGCACGCTTGTCCCATTTGACTTTCTGGGCATGCACTTACGCGTGGGGAGGGTCCTGGTTGCCCTGGGCAGGGGGCTTATGGCTCTGCATGCTCTGGTTTTACATCTGTTTCTTAATGTTTTTGTGGCGAATAGGCCCTGATGTTTGTAGCTTCTAAAGTTATTTTCATAGAGCAGAGGTGTCTCTGAGGGAAGATCATTTCTCAAAGGCGTGAGTGGCTGAGGTGGTCGTGGCTCTGGGTCCACCGTCTGCAGACTCGGGGTGCCCTGGGGTAGTGCCTCCGCTGCCCCACTCCTCAGCGGCCTCCTTCAGGGTCTGCTGAGCTGCGGGGCACCGGGTGTTGAGGTCACAGCCCCCCCCCCCCCGGTGTGGCAGCCTGCGCAGGTGTATCTGGACAAGCATGTTCTGTGCAGGAGGCGGAGACATCGCTCATCTTCATTTACCAAAAAGCACTTTGAAGCTCTGTAAATACACCTTCCAGCGTCTCAAGCGATGCATCGCTGCGAACAGGGACGTTGGCCTTGTTGCCAACGCTCGCACATGTTGTCCAAGACAAGGCCTTTCGAAGGTGAGCGTGCCGCAGAAGGACAGCAATCTTTCCAGGGGCTCTGGCTTTGTGTTCAGTCCCCGCTGTCCACAGCCTCTGCTGTACCAGTGGCTGGGCTCTTGGGGCCCTGAGACCGTGGTCAGGCAGCCTGGTCATCTGCGCTGGGCCTCTCTGGTGGCGCATTGGCCTGGCGGACAGTGGACAGTGGTGGCCGGCAGCCCAGCTGCAGAGTCTGTGGCTCCTACCTCACAGGGACATGGTTCCGGGTGAAGGTCAACACCCTGTGGCCCCCCGGTGCCAGCCCAGTCCTGCCCACGCGCAGGTGCTTGTGTGCAGCGTCCACAGGAGGCGGCCACTCTCGCCACTGCCTGGCTCCTGCCAGGGCTCCCTTATCTGGGGCCCTGTCTCCTGCTGCCCACCTGTGGTCAGACCAGGCTGCCAGGATCAGCGTCCCTGTCACCCCCATGGATGCTTTGCTCCTTGAGATCTCCTGGGACATGTTGGGCTGGAGGGACAGCAGGCTGGGTGGAGCAGAACTGACCCAGACGTGAAGTAGGCCTCGGCACCAGCCACGTGGACCAGCTCCCCGCCCAGCAGAGAGGTCCCCAGGCTCCCCAGGAGGGCTCTCTTGGCTGCTCCAAACTGACCCCCGGCCCCTGCCCACTGGTTTCTCTTCATCTTGGGCCTGGCCCAGCTGCCTGGTCAGAGGCAGAGCCCCTGGCCACCGCAGGTGCCACACACAGTGCACACGGAAGTGGCTCAACCCACCCGGCTTGGGTGGCTTCCCCAGGGAGGTGTATATCCCCCCACCAAGGAGGGGATCGGGATCTGAGAAGGCCATGTGGGGGTCCTTGGGCCCAAATGGGCACCGGAAATGTCCTGCACTTGACAGTTGAGACCCTGAGGGGAGGGAGAGGCAGGGAAAGGGGCTGCTGAGCCATCCTTGGGAGAGACCCCTTCCCGGCACACTGTCCATATGCGCTTCACCCCCACCTCTTCTCTTGGCCTGGCCCTTCTGCAGCTCCTGAAGGGCAGACTTTGGACACTGCTGTCCCACCCGACCTGGACGGAGCATGCGAGCCTGGGTCCCCGGAGCAGACTTGGCCAACAGGTCAAGTGTCATGAGGAAACTTGAGATCGATGCCCCGGCCTCTGAAGCAGAGGTTGGGGGCCAGGAGCCTTCCGCTGGTTCGCCGAGGGGCTGCCATGGGAGGTGGTGTAGTCAGAACTTGGGACCGTATATGGGGGTGCTGCCCACCAGCCCGGCCTCTCTGGGACCCCTGTGCCTTCTCTGCACCCCACCCCTCCCCCCAGCAGGCAGCAGGGGCTCGGGGGGGCCAGCCCTGGCTTTATGAGGCACCTCCTTGGGTTCCATCACTGCCGTGGCAACCAGGGGTCCTCACTGGGGTCTGGGTCGAGAGAGAGGCCCATGCCTTTCTGTCCAGCCTGGACCAGTGATCGGGTGGGGAGAGCAGGCTCTGACTCCCAGGGAGGTGGGTGCCTTCTGCTTCTGGTGCGACCAGGGAACTCGCAGGCGTAACCTCTGTGCATCCCAAGCGGGACAGAGAGCAAAACAGTGATTCAGAAGCTGTGAGGACCTGTGTCAGGCGACGGGGTTCAGAAAGTCACGTGTGCACAGTTGTGTCCTAGATATGCAGGTGGGGGTGCCCAGGACTCCGGGTTCTCGGGAGCACGGTAGGGCAGGCAGGAGGAGGAGGGACCGTCTGCAGCCGCGTGGGGCCAGGATAGCGGTCCCTGCACAAAGCTCCTGCGAGTCGGCCATGCTTGTGTTGGGGACGTGGAGGTGACAACGGCCTCGTGGGAGCATCGCGGCACCAGCACACCTTGCACCGAAACAAGGGCTAGAACCCTTAGGGATGACAGAGCACAAACGTCAGGGACCAAACTTGGGCTCAAAGGGGACCCGGGCCCCACCAGGGCTGATTTCCCGAACCCACTGCCTCATCTGCCCAGTAGGGGATGACGATGCTCCTGTCCCGCAGACAGTCCAGAGGACCAGCTTCAGCAGTTACAGAAGGAGTAAATGGGGGCCCAGCTCAGACTGGACAGGCGTGTCAGGGAGGTCATCCAGAGAGAGTGACAGCAGGACAGGCTCTAGAGGCAAGACAGCTGTTAGCGGGGGTGGGGGGTTCGGCTCCAGGCCAAGGAGATAGCCCAAGAAAGGTCGAGAATGAGGAATGGGTCCAGAAACGCTATGTGCGTTGTGTGGTGTGTGTGGTGTGCATGTTGTGTGGTATACATGTTTGTGTGGGGGGTGTGCATGTGGTTACATGTGTGGTGCGTGTGGTGTGTGGGAATGCGTGGTGTGTGCGTGTCTGGGGAAGGTGTTGTCTCCACGGGTGTCTTGTCCACACATGGAGCCCGCATTAACTGTGCCCATTTCGCCCCAGAAGGAGACAGGAAGCGCCACATTTGTTGGGAGCCTAGGGTTTGGTTGCGGGTTTTGAACTGAGGGGATCCCCCAAGAGCTAAGGATCGAGCCAGAAGATTCGCGCTTTCCCTTCGGCCATACTTCAGACTAGGTGAGGGGAACACGTGGTTTTGGTGAATGGAGGTGTGTGAGCAAAGCGCCTGCCACCGGAGGGGGGGGCGGGGGGGGCGGGCGAGGCTGCCACCCGCGTGTGCTCTCTCCAGGACCCCTCATCCGCCAGGGCCCGCGCAGCCGCGGAGCCTGCAGGGACCGACTTCAGCCGCGCCCGCCCCGCTGGCCCCCGTGACCGTGGGTAAGTGTGCGCCTCCCGCTGCCGCTCGGACCGTGGGCCTGGGCGGGGGTGACCCACGTGCCGTCCTCACGCCTGTGCAGACGCGGCCCCTGCAGTAGCTTGCCCACCATGGAGTTCTGCCCTTGGTGCCTCCCGACTTCTCAGGGCCACTTGCAGGTGCGACGCGTGGAGCTTCCCGGAGCCCCCAGAGGAGCAGGGACTCAGTGTCCCCACAGGCCTCACGCTTGGCCCCCGTGCTCTCGTGACACTAGGGCTGTTTAGCTTCCAACTACTCTCAGAACCTGAAGAATCGCTCCTTTAAATTTTACAAACTCTGATGCCAGTTGAACTTTGGGGTTTCCACACATGGTCATGGTGACCTTTCCGTCCTGGGAACCCCTGCAGGATGGAGTTGCGCCCCTATCCTTGCCAGCGTGGGCGGCCCTGCCTGGGGCTGACCCACGTCCTGGCATCTTGCTCCTCCCACAAGATAAGTGGTCTCTCCCTCTGTTGTCCCGTCACTTAGGATTTCTTCCTCAGGGTCACTGCTTCGCCTCCCCGCCCTGAGGTCCGTGCGTGCCCCCGATCCGACCTTCCTGGGGGTTTGATTCTTGGCAGTGTCCTTTCTGTTGGTTCACGCTTCCATCTGAATTCTGCTTTTGCTCGGGAATCACGTTGTAATTCAGGGTGCTTTCCCGGCCCCAGTCCCCACTGCGCTGGCCTTGCTGTCCATGGGGGATACTCTCTGCGGGCCCCCAGGAGTCTCACTGACCAGGGAAGCCCTGCCTGGCCCCACATCCCGAGAACGGAGCGGCCAGCCTGCAGAGAGCAGCCGAAATCTGCCCTCATGTGGCCAAGTCCCCGGGACCCTCAGGCCTCCACCCGCCGTGGCTGTGATGTGCTGCTCACCCATTCCCTCACCGCCGCCTGGCCAGAAGTGGCCATGGCTCCCTCCCAGTCCCTCGCTTCGGCACTGGTGACCCCAGAGCACCTGGAGGCCCCAGAAGCCCCACAGCCCCCAGGTCTTCATTTCTGGGCATGTGGCATCTAGTTCTGTCCTTAAGGGAGAATTGTAGGAAGGTTCTCTGAGGATTTCAGGCACATAAGAGTGGCATGGTCACACAGCGAGGGGCTGCTTTTCCTGCCAACTTCCCCTCTGTTTCCCCAGGGATGAGGGCCTGATGGGGGTCTTCTTCCTGCATGTGACAGGTCTTCTGATGAGTCAGTGCCCATTTGTAAACAAAGCCCGCACTCAACTGGAGGTGGTCACGGCCATGCCCGTGCTGGGGTCCTGGCGGCGCCTCTCCCGGGTCCTCGGTCCTGTGGGCCTCACACCCTCCAAGAGTGTTGCATCACTGCTGTGGCCTGGGCAGACACAGGACTCCCCTGGACCCTGGAGGGCCCCCCACCTGCCATCCGCCTCCAGAGGTGGGCAGCCCTGGGGTCCCCTTGCCGCACAGGCTGCGGGAGGGTCCACACATGGCCTGTCTGTCCCCCTCCCGTCTTGCAGATGGGTTTGTGCAACAGAAGCTGGAGACGGGTTGTCCCAGAAGCCGGGACCAAGCGGGCCTTGCCCCCCCGCCTGTCCCGAGTGAATGGCTGGTCGAGGCCCCTGCACTCCTTCCAGGCGGTGGCCTGGGTCACGCTCCTCATCATGGCCATTGCCAACTTCGGCATCTTCATTCCCTTCCTGCCACGTAACTGGAAGTACATTGCCTACGGCGTATCCTTTACTGTGGGAGCAGGGCCTGCTGTCCGAGGGAGGCTCCTGGAGGGCCGGCCCCCAGAGCTGGCTCAGGGCCACGCCGCGCCTTCCCGTCCCCCTTGCCACTCCATCCTCTGCACCAAGTCACCCACAGGTGCAGCCCCTTGCCCTCTGACCCCACTCCCCCTCTTCACCCCAAACACCCACCGTGGCCACAGCAGCCCGTTGATATCCTACATGTGGCTCACTGGCTCAGGGTCCTTGCTAAAAAGCACAGGCTTGCCCGCCATCAGTTCCGGGAGAATGCTCCTGGTGGCAAGGGGCAGAGGGACCCTGGGGTGGGGCGGAGAGCCCTGAGGACAGGAAGGAGTCACATGGCCAGGGCAGACATGCAGACAAACGGACACAGCCCCGCAACGGCCACGCATGTGGTCGCACACGCAGATGCTTGGGAAGAAGGGTTTCTTCCTCGCATTCGAGCAGTCCGTCTGGCTCAGAGGCTGAAGGGTGTGTCCCAGGGCCGTGCATGGTGTTTCAGTCTCAGGGTCCATCCACAGGTCCACAGTGGGCTGGATCCAGCTGGCCGGGGGTGGGGGAGCCACGCCAGGGATCCAAGGGGGTGTGTTTAGAGAGAGACACTAATTATAACAGTGGCCCGTCTTCAGCCGCTTGTTCCCATGCTTTCTTGTTTGCGACATATGGTGGGTGGGTGGTGGCTGGACCTGGCAGAGAGTGTGAGCCTGCCAGCTGCTAGGACCCCTGGAGAGTAGCTCCAGGTGGGCAGATGCTGGGGATGTGGATGCACATGGGGCTGTCACACAGGCTCCACGGTGCTGGCCCTGCCCCCAGCCACACAGGCATCGCCTGCCTTGGTCCCTCCTCACGCCTTACCCTGTGGGTGGTGGATCCAGTTCCACCGGTGCATCCGTGTCTAGGGGCCATGCTGGCGGACCCCACCAGTGAGCCTCGGCATCCACCATGGCCTGACATGCAAGCCCGCTGCCTCCCCAGCACCACGCGGCCCCCAACCTGGCCGGCCTGCCCCCGTGGGGCCCACAGAGTGTCTGGTCCACAGGAGTGGCACCGGGGAACATGGGTCCTGCGTGCCCTGGGCACAGTCACCCCACCTCCAGGCCTGTGGTGAGGTGGGGGCGTGAGGCGGGGCCCATGTACTCGTGTCTTTCACAACCAGCAAGATGCGCAGAGACCATACCATCTCACAGCCAGCCCATCTTAAAATTTCTCCAGGGGTCCTCAAAATATGCTTCATCAGGGGTTTTTAACCCAGAATCCAGTCACAGTTCACACTGGGCATGCGGTGATGGGTCTCCTGTCTCGGGCCCAGCGCAGCGTCCCCCGCGGTGGGCACCCTCTCCACAGCCAGGGCAGCCTGCAGCTGGGCCTGGCCCTCCCTGTCGGGGTTACCCTCTCGCTGTGGCTTGTGAAACAGTGAAGTCTCCATTTTGCCACTCCGACCGCGTGCTCAGCTCCCGTTCGTGTGCAGGAGATGCGCGCCCGCAAGCTAGCGGCGGCAGGAACGGAGCCGCAGAAGCCCGCGGGTGTACCCTGATCCTGACTGTGGGTTTGCTCACGGGCTGGGTTAAAATCCTCACCTCCGTTGTCCCTTGACCGTAGCTCAGCCTGTTTGGGGCCTTTTTGAGCTGCCCGTGTTCTTTGTCCAGGGGTCCTCCGGGGGACTCACCTGCTTCCGGGCCCAGAGGGGGCTTGGGCTTGGGGCCCAGTATGAGCTGCCCCCGGCAATGGAGCCCAGTGATGGTCTGCGCTGCCCCTGGCACCAGCCCCCAGTGAGGGATTCTGGCCTGCGTGACAGGCGTCCAGGACTCAGGCTGCCCTGGGACAGGGTCTCTCTCTGCCCAGCACCCCATAGGGCAGGCGATATCCCTCAGGCCCCTGCAGCCGCCTGGGCACTGTGCTCTGGCCGCTGGGGGGCGCCGGTGTCCTTCAGTGCCTGCAGGGGCCAGGCTGCGGCCCCAAGGAGGAGGGCTGGGCCCGGCTGCAGCCTCCAGAAGCCTCAGCACAAGAGGCGACCCAGGGGTTCTTGGCTGACCCTCTGGGTCTGAGCTTCCCCCGCCATCCTGCAAAGGGAAGCAGCTCCATCCCTGGCCCGTAGGGTCCACAGAGCAGAGGGGCTGGCGTCTCATGGGACGTGACCTAGTCTGAGGGCCAGTGGTGTGGCTGGGCCGAGAGGCCCCCGGGGAGCTGCCAGGACCGTGCCACTGACATCCCACTCTGACTCCAGGTCTCGCAAGAGGCAGACGTGACTGGGGCAGTGGGGGCTCTGGGGGCGCCTCACCTCTTCCTGCTGCAGAACCGGAAGGACGGGAGGGCCTGTGTCCTGGGCTGCGCCCGCGCCTGTTTACCAAACACAGATTGTTGCTAGGGGACCGTGGCCTCTGGGGCAGGGCCTCCTGCTTACTGAGGGAGACCTCCTACCCCGTTCCTTTGGCTTTTTGTTATTCACGGGAAACTGAGACACTCTTGTGAGAAGATGGCATTTGAAAGTGAGAGCGGGAACCTACCCACCCTGTGACACTTTTGGGGCTCAGCCCATGCTCATTGACATCTAGAACGTGTGGCTGACCCAGTAATGGCCAGGCAGAATGGGGCACCTTTTGCTGGTCCATATCATTCCTGTGGGTGACCTGGGGTCAGCTTCTTGAGTGCTGGGCGGCGTTAGGTCAGACAAGCTGGTGGGCTGTGTTCTTGCTTGGACAACTTCATGCTCGAGGAGGCTGTGGGGGGACTTGACCTACAGCATGGGGGGGCTGGAAGCCACACCCCTTTGTTCCTGGGGGACAGGTGCTGAGGGCGGCCTGGCAGGGGCACCTGCAGGGCTCAGACATCTGGGGGAATTGGCGGCAGGCAGCTCTGTATGGCTGGCCTAGCAACTCAGGTCAGGTGCCTCGGGCGCCTGCACTTTGAGGGTCAGAGTGTGGGCCGAGCTGTCCCCGCACTGTCTCCTGGGTGATGGTCTCGTGCAAGCCGAGTGTAGCCAGGGGCAAAGGGCTTCGAGCACACATCCCAGCCCTGGCTGCCCTCCTGTGCTCCCTCCTGGGCACCTTGCCCGCCCGTTTCTGAGGCAGGCGGAGGAAGGGGCCGCACCTGGGCCACAGTTGGACTTCCTGCTGCATCTTATCGTCCTGGGCCTGCAGCTCAGGACGGGCTCCTGTTGCCCCGGTAACCACACAAACATGGCTTCAGGGAGCAGGTGCAGAGGGACAGGCAGGCCAGCACCATGCTGGTGTCTCCAGCTGTGACCGTGAAGCCCGGCCCAGCCCAGCCCCTGACCACCCGCCAGCTGCCCCACACCCTGCATGGAACAGGGCTGTGGTCTGCTCAGCAGCAGAGTAGGGCAGGCTCCCGCCCTAGCCAGCCCTGCAGGGTCTGGTGGCCACACGAAGGGCCTTGGTGTCTCTGCACCCCCTCCATGGCCCTGAGGGATCTGGTCAGTCCCTTCCTCCTGCAGGTCTCCCAGGGCCTGGCTGGTTCTCAGCTGCCCCTCCACCTGCCCCTGGCCTGGGCACCAGCCTCCCGGTCTGTCTTGGCCCAGCTCATTCTCGCTACCCTCCTGACAGCCACGCTCCCCCAGCAGGGCTGGCTCCCCATCGCCTCTGTGCCCACGTCTGGCACCCAGAGCCCTGGGTCTACACTGGTGCCTGGAGGCTAGAGGACGAGGGGCCATGAGCAGGTCTGGCCAGAAGCACTCAGGCTTGTTGTGCAGTGGCCTTCACGGAGGCAAGCCCATGCAGAGGCCGAGCGCTGTTGCCGGGTGGGCGGCAGACCCCGGACCACAGCAGTGGTGGAGCATGAGAAGGACCCCATGGGGGCTGCCCGCAGAATGGGGCTATGACCCTAGCCCCTGCTCAGAGCCTGCAACCCCCTAAAATCACGGCAGAGCGTTGTGCACACGGCCAGTCATTTCCCCCACCACACCCTGGAGCCCGGCCTGTAACCCTGAGCCCTCCCGCTCAGAGCCAGTCTGGGGAAGCAGGGCAGGGCTGACAGGGAGGCGGCCTCCACCTCTTCTGTTTGGTTTCCATGGGGACGGTGTGTTGGTCCCGAGGTGGAGGAGGAGGAGAGGGTGAGATCCCAGGGCCTGGTTTTACCCTGGATGCCATGGAGGGCGTGGGTGCTGGAGAGCCAGAGGGGCCAGGGGCAGGGAAGACAAGAGATGGAGGCGCCCCATAGAGACTGGATGTGGGAGCCCTTCCTCCCCACCTTCGTTTCTTGATGACACACCTGCCTCCTAACCCCACACCTACTCTTGGAACTGCCCGAAGGACCCCCACACCTCCTTCAGCACCCGGTGCCAACCCCCTACTGACCCTCAGGCCCCTGGCAGGTGCCTCCAGGGCCCTGCTTCCAGTGGGAAAGCCTATCTCCAGGGCGAGCGAGCATCGTCTCTCGTGGAGGAAGGAACGGGGGGCTCGCTCTGTCGGCCGCGGGGGTGTGAGCGGACCGTCCTGGGACTCGGCCCTCAGCCAGGCGCACCGCTTCCGTGGCGCTGAGCGGCAGCCACCCTGAGTGGGCACCCTCGCCGTGTTGTCCAGGCCTGGCTGCGTGTTCCTTGACGCCTCTTCCCCAGGTGAATGGCGGGCTTTTCTTTCTCCACTTCTTAGTCCACTTGATTGCAGTTTCCATCGACCCGGCCGAAGCCAACGTGCAGTTCAAGAAGAACTACTCCAAGCCTATGCCGACCTTCGACCGGTCCAAACATGCCCACGTGATCCAGAACCAGTATTGCCACCTGTGTGAGGTCACCGTGTGAGTGCCCTGGGTGTGGGGGCAGACGGTACCTTGGTTTCCTGTCGGCTGGCTGGCACTGCTCTGCTTGAACGAGGAGCCATGGCCCTCAGACACAGGGGCCCCCCCAGCGATCCAAACACCCCTATCAGATCTCTGCCCGGGCTGGTCACGGCTTCCGTGGGCGGCCTGGGAGGGAGACCCGTGGCTCAGGGTGGGATCTGAGCCCAGCTTCCCAGCTCGATCCCTGGCACCATGTGGCAGGCGGGGCCAGGGGAGGCCACCCCACCTGGGGCCTGGTCCTCCCTGCTGCCCGCCTCCCCCCGACAGGCGGGCAGGGGCTTTGACCCTGTCGTCCTCCTGCACATGCTGCCAACAGGCTGGTGGTCCTCAATTCTCCCTTCCCTTCCAGGAGCTCGAAGGCCAAACACTGTAGCGCCTGCAACAAGTGTGTCTCTGGCTTTGACCATCACTGCAAATGGCTCAACAACTGTGTGGGGAGCAGGAATTACTGGTGAGGGGGAGCAGGGGGGAGCTGGGAGGGAGGGGAGAGCCAGGTGTGGCGGAGGGGAGAGCCAGGTGTGGGGAGCAGGAATTACTGGTGAGGGGCTGGGGGGGTGGGAGGGAAGCTGGTGGGGAGGGGAGACCCAGGTGTGGGGGAGGGGTGAGGAGTCCAGGGCCCCAGGAGAGGGCTTCTGCAGGCGGGGGCCTCATGGGTGAGGGGGTGAGGGCCATGGCAGTGGGGGGTCACGTGCTGTCCTCTGTCGTCCTCGTGTGGTCTGGAGTCACCCCTGGATGTGTGAAGTCCAACCCGTGGGAAGGGGTGTGGGCTGAGCTGCCTCATCCTTGACCCGCTGGCTTGGGCCCGGCAGCATTCTCTCAGTGAGGCCATCCGAGCACAGAGGAGAGGGGCCCAGGCTGTACTGGGAGCAAGCGTCCAGGCCCGGACGGGCTCAGGTGCAGGGCCCGTGAGCATCACCAGGACCCCACGGGCTGGGGTCTGGGCTCTGAGTGGCCAGGAGGAGCAGCAGAGCTCCCTGCACTCATTCGCACTGGCCCGTGCTGGCTGATGACGCAGCTGCCAAGGGGCTCCCCTGCTTCCCCACCACCCCATGGCAGATGTGCCGCGTGCACCCAGTCCTGGAGCCGGAAGACCGTGTGAGAAACGCGCAGCTGGTTCAGGCCTGAAGAGGATCGCTGCTTTGAGCAGAAGGAAATACAAAGCTCTCATAATTCGGAAAGCCCAATCAGCACTGGGGGACTGGGAGTGCCTGGGAGCCCCCATCCCCCCTCCTCCCTACAGAAGAGAAGCCCTGGGCCAGCGAAGGGGGGGTGGGCCGCCTCCTCACACTAGCAGGGCTCTCTTCTCCTCTGGACGCACCTCCTCAAGGCCTTGCTGGCACGAGCTGGTCACCTTGAGGCCCAGTCAGCCATCGGGGGACAGAGGAGCCCTGCCACTGAGCAGGACTGAGTGGGCCAGGCCCCACGGGGCACAGGCTGGAGCTCAGAGGGCCTGACAGGGGTTTCCAGGCACAGCAGGCTGAGGGGGTTCCCAGCAGGGCGAGAAGCCCCTCGACTGCGGGTGAGCCCCAGCAGCCGTCCGGGCATCCACTGGGCAGGGTCAGCAGGAGGGAGCAGGTGCCTGGCACACAGCAAGGAGGGGGCTGCGTTCCTCGGAAGGAGCACGCAGAGGTGAGGCAGGGGTCAGGGTGAGCACAGGGCCGCTGTCCGTGTGCATCTGCCCCAGATTCCCTCCTGTCCCTTCGACCATCCAGCAGAAAAAGCAAGAGGGAGTGACTGCCTTTAAAAGACAGTTTGTCCAAAAAAGTGGGCAAAGCCTAACAAGCCAGTGAAGTCAGGTCTTCACAGAGAAAGCGCTGGATTAGGTGCTGAGGCGCCGCAGATGCAGGAGTCAGGGAAGGAAGCGATGCTTCGTGTCCTGAACGTCGGTTGGACAGGCTTTGGCCCCCACCCAATCGGGAACGCTGCCTCTTGCCAGGTGACAGCAGGACAGGACAGCCGAGGGGCTTCCAGCCTGGAGGGGCTCCCTGGGGACCAGAGCCAGGTGTGGGGCCAGGCCTGTGCCCCCTGCAGCTTGGGGACACACAGGAGGCTGGGCCTGCATAGGATTGAACAGGAGATGCACCTCGGGGGGCTTAGTGAGGGGCCACGATGCAACGGCCCTCGAGCCAGCAGCTCCCCAGGACTCCAGGGCTGTGCTCCACATGCACCCAACCCTTTGGGAATGCTCACGTTTTAGCTCTCCACCTAAAGATGTGTGTAAAGAACCCTCAAGAAGTTCTGGGAAAGCATCATGGAATCAACTGAATTCCAGCTGAAGAAAACACGTTGAGATTGAAAATGTTGAAGGAGTGGTTTCCTTCAACGTCGCAACAGCAGAAAGCCCGGAGGAAGACCGTGCCGTGGGAGCATATTCCAAGAGTTGCTGACCGTAATTTATTTTCTGCATGGATGGATCATTCTCTGGGTCTTCTGAGCCAGGCAAGGGGGCAGGAGTGATTCTGGTCTAATGCCAAAGCACAAGATGTCAATTGTGCCCAGAAGTGTGCCTGGCCCCAGGGAGGATGTGTGGAGATGACCCACCTGAGCTGTGGGTCATGAGCTGTACCCGGCCAGGCACCTGCCATGGTGCCCTCTAGCCTCCCCGACCCAACCTGGCTTCGGTGCCCTTGATGGAAGGACAGCACCAGGACCCCCACCATGAGGAGGAACCGCCAAGCGTTCTTCCAGAGGGACTAGGCTTTGAGCTGGAACTGTCTTGCCTGCTTTCCATCCTGCCTACACTGCTGCATGCATGCCCCGAAGTTTTTCTGAATGAGGAGACAAATGTGTTTTCCTTGGCCTCTCAGAGCAAATGGTAGAATACAAGAAAATGCTTTCAAGTGTAAAAAATACCTCAAATGATCTGCAGATAATACTGGGGTTACTGGCTCTACCAGCTTTTGGAGTAGCAAATCTGTTACGCCATAGTTAAGGTACAAGCAGAACAATAAAAAGAGTGAAATTAATTAAAAAAAAAAAAAAAACCATCCGACTCTGTTCAGTGGCAGCGGTCACAACCCAACTGCAGGCTAAGAGCCACAAGGGCTCATTGTCCATAATTCTGTGACCGGGCGGGAGCCCCGGGTGAGAAGCGGCCCGGATGAGGGGGATCCTCTGCCCGCCCACCCCACATGGCCCAGAGCCTCGTGTCCCTCCCTGTGAGCCAGGGTGGCCCCTCCTCACCCTTGTGGGGGTTGAAGGGGAGCACGTCTATAAGGCATGAGGCACAGAAAACGGAGGTGCCGTCAGGACGGCCGCAAACCAGCAGCATCCCGTGGAGAGCTCCACTCGAGGGACAGGAGACGGGAAGAAGGCTGGGTCTTGGGTTCGGGGCCAGGGACACCCCGCGCGGGTTGCCGCACTTCCAGGGCTGTGGGTCAGCCGGCCCTGAACCTGGTTTGCCTCTGCCTCTCCCGCAGGTACTTCTTCTTCTCCGTGGCCTCCGCCTCGGCTGGCCTGCTCTGCCTGATTGTCATCCTGCTCTACATCTTCATCCAGTTCTTCATCGACCCGGAGGAGCTTCGCACGCACCCCTACTACGAAAGTACACGTGGCTCCTCTGTGGTCCTGCTTCCTCTTGGGTCACTCGCAAGTGTTAGCCTGTCCTTCCAGCCGCCTCTGTGGTAAAGCCTTCCTTCTGGGGGGCGTCAGCCTGGCCTGCCCCCGGCTGGGTGAGCGGCATGGCTGGGCAGAGGCAGGTTCAGGGCCCGTGGTGCTGGCTGCTCAGAGGCCATGCTCCCAAGTAGTCCCAGGCGTGGGAGGGGCGCCCTCTGCCCCATCACCCTGCAGCTGGTCTGGACGGGTGGGAGGACAGGGCTGCCTGGGGACAGGTTCTGGGTGAGGTGTGGCTGCAGGTCTCTGCGAAGTGGGTGCAGGAGCCTGGCCTTAGGAACAGATGTGGGATTGGATGTGGCCTCAAAGTTATGTCCATGATCTCACCCCCGGACCTGTGACTGACCGTATTTGGGGAAAGGGTCTTTATAGATGCGATTAAGGATCTTGAAATGACCATAGGTTAGCTGGGAGTGTGTGTGGAGGGGTGCTGGGTCCGTTGAGAATATCTTTATAAGAGACTGGAGGGACACGGCCTGGAGCCCCAGGACCCGGAAGATTCAGGACAGATCCTCCCCTACAGCCATGGAGGGAGCTGGGCCCTGCAACACCCTGCCTTCCAGGCTCCATCTCTGTTGTTTAAACTGCCCAGTCTGTGGCCATCGGTCACAGCAGCCCCAGACACTGATGCAGGGAGGACCCCCGGGGGACCGCCTCCTGTGTCTGTCCTGAGTGCCCAGGGACCTCAGCTGCCTTTCTCAGCCCAGGCCTCTCTCCAGAGCACATCATGGCCCAGCACATAGAGCAGGAAAACAGAGGACCTTGTCACTCAGCTCAGAATGTTCCAGGGACCCGCACTCTGCCCAGGCTCCAACATCTCTGCAAGGCCCAGCATCGGGCTCCAAAGCAGGTGTGGACAGTGCCCTCCTCCCAGGAAAGTGAGCAGCCTGCAGAGCCAGTGATGATCTGGTGGTAGGACCGAGCCCCCACATCTCCCTTCTCCAGAGCCTGTGCCATTGGAGGGGTCCTGCTGCCGTGCAGCCTCTTCCTGGGGGGGCTATGCCCTGTGCACCTTCACCCCGAGGCCTGCACAGCACCACTGTGGCATGGACTTTCTGACCTGCAACTGCTCCGAAATGCATCCGGGTTATCTCTACGGTAAAAGGGAATAGCAGGGGTCTCATCGAGGCCAGGCCCCACTCAGCAGGATGTGCACACAGCCAGCTGGAGCCCTCCGCCTGCCACCCTTCCTGACAGTCTCCACATGTAGCCTAAGCCAGAGGGCTAGCCGGAGCCAGCAGCCTCCAGAACAGTCAAGGCTGGGCACTGAGGGTTCCAGGTGTAGGCCCTCCCCACCACGTGGCCTCTCGATGCCCCTACATACTGCACCTGGTGACCGGCGACCTCAGCACACCCCAGTGTCCACAGCAGCACTTCTGAGCGTTTCCTGATGGCCTCGCGACACGGGCATTAGCTGGGCTGGCACTGCTGTGCACTGTGAGGACAGAGGGCAGGGTGACCCTGGCCTCTCTCTGGGACTTGCTGGCTCTGGAACCACAGTGGGACCAGCTATATGTGAATGCCTGAAGACTGAGGCAATCTCCTGGGTTTGCTGTTCCAGAAGATTCCACGGGGCTGCTTAACCACAAGTTCCCTGGGACACTTTGCTGTCATTGGTGGGAATTCATCGAAACATCACCAGCTAAGGGGACAAGCATGCTGTCCACCACCCCGAGGTCCAGCCAGCCCCACGCATGCACGCGGCCACACAACACAGTGGGCCTGGCAGCCACCTTTTGGGGCGTCACATAAGGGACTAGAGTCAGGGCATTTTAGCTGGAATTCCACCTCATGGGCCTGACTGCAGATTCGTCAGTGCTTTTCTTACACTTAAGTTTGGGGCACAGAGGACCATGTTCTGGAATTGCCCCGAGGCGCTGGCTACAGCCTTCTGGTCCTCTGTGACAGTGGCTGGTTGAGAATGGGGAAGGCCCAGCAAGGACCAGCGAGGACCTGGCTGACGGGCAGGGTGGGTGTTGGGGCCAGGAGGGGTCCAGGCTCTGGGACCTGGCCACTTAGTTAACCTCCTCCAGCCCTGTAAAGTGGGATTGTCAGGGGGCTGCAAGGGCACTTAGGTAGGGCAGGGCACACACCTGGGCAAGGAAGAAGAGCTCCCTTGGGCTGGTTTCCTTCTCCCACCACCGAGCTCTGTCTCCCGAGGAGAGGTGCAGCCATGCCCCGGGTGCTGGACACGGTGCATGTCTCCCTTACTTCCACAGAGGTCTCCAACAAGAACACTTGGATGCTCTTCCTCCCCCTTTTCCCTGTAAAGACAAAGACCCCAGTTGTCCTGGGCATTGGGGTGTTCGTGCTGCTGTTGGACGTCATCAGCCTCCTGCTGCTTGGGCACCTACTTATCTTCCACCTCTACCTAAGTATGTGTCCCAGCCCCTTGCGTTCACACGTGTCCCAAGGCAGAAGACTGCTCAGCTGGCCCCTGCCAGAAATGAGCACAAAAGACAAATCACAGGATGGGAAGAGACGCCCCTCGAGGGACAGCAGGGCTGGTTCTGTTCTGAGGCCGGCAGAGACCATGAGAGGGGTTTTCAGAGCAAGTTAGAATGTTCAGAGATAAAGGAGCAGAATCTGAGGCAGGAATAGGGAACCTTGAAAAAAAGAACAGGGGATTTAGAAAAGCACCAAATCCTAACAATGAGAAACAGTCAACCAGTGACAGGGTATCTGCTAACCACACTCGCCGCAGGGAGCCTGGTTTTCTGATGTCCACATGGCACTGGCGCTACAGGCTCCACCGTTCCCTGGCACGGGGGGTAGGGGCAGGACTTCCGCACCCCATGAAGCCCTTCCTTGGATGTGTGGCCCCTCCCTGTGGCCTCTGTGTGGGAGTGGGCAGCACCAGCAGGCTCTATGTGGCTGCTGGGCTGGTCTGTGCAGGCAGTGTCCTCATGTCCTCTGCGGAGCCAGGGCCAGATCGGCCCAGGCCCTTCCTAAAGCTTCTGCACACTGGCCGAGGGGGACAGGGGTGCATTTGGGGACAGTGTCCCAGTCACAGCGTGCATGATAGCCAGCAGGTAGCAAGTTGGGCAGGTCCAGAAGCCTGCCACAGCCACTCAGGATGGACGGGTGCAAGACTGGAGAACAAGTCCACAGGACTCAAAGCTACCTGGAGATCTGAGGAGAGGGACCAAAGGGCCCCAACTCAGGCACCCGGGAGGGTAGTGGTGCCATGGTCACTGTGGGGGCATGCACAGGAGACCCCTGGAAGGGAGAAACACACCGAGCTTAGGGCTCAAGGTGTCGCTTATAGGGGATTTGGACATCAAAGAACAGACTTCTAGAACAAAGTTGGGATATTAGCTCTTGTTAGAGTAAAATTACCCTAAAATGTAGCTGCTTGAAACAACAGTTAGTGCCTGGCAGTTTCTGTGGGTCCCCCGGCCCTGCTTTTCCATCAGGTGCCATGAGGGGCTGTGGTCTCATCCGATAGGGGACGATCCACTTCTAGGCTCATCACCAGGGCAATGGCAGGTCAGTTCCCGACCTCAGTTCCTTGTGAGTTGGTGGCCAGTGCCTCCTGCCGCTCCTTGTCATGCGAATGCTCCAACACAGAGCATCTTAGCATCTTACAATGGGTCAGCTGGCTTCAGCTGAGCAGGCAAGAGGCAAGACAGAGCCAGGCTTTTGTAGCCCAGTCATGGAAGTGACGCCCCATCACCTCTTCTGCAAGGCACCGGGGTCAGCCTGCGTTCTAGGGGATGGGAATACATGAATGCCCTGAAGTGGGGGAACTGCTGGGGGACACATCAGAAACTGCCAGCCGCTGGATGCTTCATTCCAAAGCTTGGGAAAAGGACACCCAGATGAGTCTGCAGCACATGAGTAGGAGTGGGAACATTGGTAAGGGCCAGATCTCCTGGGAAGACACACATATGTGGGAGTGCCAGCAGCAGGGGTGTGGGGAAAGCCACCTTCACGCAAGTGGGGGAGAGAGCATCCCAAAAGGCAGTGGCCCTGAGCTCCTGTGTTAGAGCCTGGTAAGACTGGAGGGAACACGGTGGACCCTCACTCAGTGCACGCTGTGCTCTGGCTTCAGTTCCTCAACTGCATCTCCTCTTGTTACTGTCAGATGATAAGTGTGAGCTCTGGGAAACACACAGTTGTGCTTACCATCTGATGGTGATGGTAGCTGTGCAAATCCATGCAAAAGAATGAGTGTTTTCACTAGCATGTAACCAAGTGCAAGTTTATACCCTCCAACAGACACAGATTCTGAGGGAGTGTGAAGAATGTAGTAAGAACCAGGTGGAGTTAACTGAGAAAGAGAAGCCAAAGCAAACAAAAACAAAAGTGCTTGTACAAACCACTCAGGGAAGGGGATGGGCTGTGTTCTGCAGGAGCTCACTCCACCTGGGAAGAAGCCTCTGAGGGCTCCACGGGGGTGTGTGGAGCGGCGCCCCCCCCCCCGCCGTCCACTCCTCAAACTGCAAATAGGCTTCTGTGGGTGGCCTTCTCACTTTCCAGAAATAATTAGAAGCCATCTGTCCTCATGTTTGTTGGTTTTAGGAAAAGAGAAATGGGAAGTTGGGCACCTCCACTGAAGCACATGGCTGAAACAGGCACAGAACCCATTTCATGAATAGTTCTGTCTACTGAGAGGTCTCAGATGCTCTTTCAGTGACCTGGGGTGCTGCCCACGATGCTGGAGCCACTGGCTCAGCCCAGCTGAGGTCCATGTTGACTTTGCAGGCCTGGGAGGCAGGCAGGACAGCTGTTCCTGGGGTGGGGGGCCTCAGGCCTTGGGGGTGTGAGGAGCTGCTGTCTGCTACCCACAGGCCAGATGGGCTCTGGAGTGGCCATCAGCAGCCCCCCAGGGCTCCAGGTTAGGAAGGAGCTCCCAGCACCCTGGGGGGAGCTCTGGAAGGCCGGGTTGCGGCACGCAGGCCACTCTGCTTACTTGTGTAATTGCGTGTTTCCTCCTCTCTCCTGTCTAGTGGTCAAGAAGTTGAGCACATTTGATTACATGACACAGGGCCGCCAGCAACAGACTCCAAAAGCTTCAGCAGGAAAGGAAGAGCTGTCCTTCCAAATAGGATTCCCACAGGTACCAGGTGTCCCTCTGCTTCACCATTCATATTATCTAGGCCTGGGACAATGCCCAGGGTCACCTTGCAGCTGGGACTTCTCAACCACAATCCTTTGTTTCTATGTTGGCACAGTCCTCTGATTCTGTATCTGTGTGTATATGTGAGTCTGCGTGGTGTGAGATGCAGTGCATGTGTGGTTGTGTGTGTGTGTTTGGTGTGAGATGCAGTGCATGTTTGTGTGTGTGATGCAGTGCATGTGTGTATGGTTGTGTATATGTGTTTGGAGTGATGCAGTGCATGCTTGTGTGTGTGACTATATGAGTGTGCATGTGTGTGATTCAGTGCATGTGTATGTGGTTGTGTGTGCATGGTGTGTGTGTGGTTGTGTGTGTGTGCATGTGTGTGTGATGCAGTATGTGTATGTGCATGGTGTGTACAATGCAGTGCATGTCTGTGTGTTTGGTGTGTTTCTACATTCACTATCTATAAAATCAAGCCAGCAGAGCTGATTCCTTTTAGGCCCACATATTTCCACAGCTGCTTCTCATTAAAATTAAAAATATTTGCTTTTCAAAAGGTCACCATTAAGAAAATGAAAATATAAGCCACAGGCATAAATGAAATACTTATAAATCATATACTTGTGTCCAGAATATATAAAGAACTTTCAAAATTCAATTATAAGAAAATGACCCAGTGCTTTAATTTTTTAAATGGGCAAAAGATTTGAACCAACTATTCTCCAAGGAGGGTCTATGGGTGGCAAATAAGCACACAAAAGATGGTCAGCATCATTTACCATTAAGAAAACACAAAACCACAGTAAGATACCATTACACACCCACTGGAATGCCTGTAATCAGAAGGATGAACAGTAACAAGTGTTGGCGAAGCTGTAGAGATAGAAGTCTCATACATTGCTATTGGGGAGATCCAATTAGATCACTTTGATAAGAAGTTTGGCATTTTCTTACAAGTAAAATCTAGGGATGTCTGGGTGGTTCAGTCGGTTAAACAGTGGCCTTCGGCTCAGGTCACAATCCCAGGGTCCTGGGATGGATCTCCTCATTGGGCTTCCTGCTTGTAGGGGAGCCTGCTTCTCCCTCTCCCTCTGTCACTCACCCTGATTGTGCTCTCTGTCAAATAAATAAATCAAATCTTTTTTAAAAAGTAAAATCTATACTTACCATTTAAGTTGGAAATCCCACTCCCAGTTTCTTACCTAATAGAGGTGAAAACACGGTTATTCCTCTAACAAGGGTGCTATCCCCCAGTGAGATCATTTCCCAGGACCCAGGAGACTCTGAGGTACCATTACTCAAAATTAACTAAAACTGACTTGAATTTTGTATAATAAGCCCACTGTCAACAATTTTTTTCACTTTATGAATTTTTATCGCCCACAGCAAGCAGGTGATGACCAGAGTTCATCTGTACACAGGTAAGTTTGTAAGCTTACTAGAGCTTGTTTTATCTGTTTGAAAAATACTATACACTCTTAAGAGTCTTGCTTTAAAAAGTCTTCTTTACTCCAAGGTTATACAAATATCCTTCATATTCCTTGCTAATATTTTCATCATTTTTATTTACTTTCTTTGCATTTTGGTTTCCAAGCTATCCTGAATTTATTTTTGTGTTCACGAAGACAGGGGTTAAGGTCATTTTATTACCCTAGCCAGCGCCAAGGGCATGGTGCGCCCTGCTCCCCTGGGAGACCCTCTTCCGGTTGCGCCCGCCCTGAACGTCCGGTAGGGTACCCCCCTCCCTTGGCATTTTTAAATTTTTCATTGCTCTTGACAATTCTTTCACGTTTTTATTTTTCCATATAAACTCTAAAATCCTTTTGTGCAGTTCGAAGACACGCAGAGTTCGAAGTGGAGTTACATTAAACATTCCCTTGACATGGGAGGGAAAGAGGCCACGGGGTAACAGCTCCACGCCCCGAACCGTCCCGGAAGTCGGTCTCCCCCGGGGGAGCGGGTCGGAAGTGCCACCGCACGCCCCGAGGTGTTCGTGGAACCTGTGCGGGGCGGCTCTCGCGTTTGGGCAGAGTGTGGCGGGGAGCAGGGACCGCGCCCCTCACCACGAGGTGTCTAGCGGAAAAGGAGCGTTCGCTCCAAATAACCCGCTTCTTCCTTCTGCATTGGTTTCCTTAGACACCGGGTAGCGATACTGCTGTGAAAACCCAGGTCCTTTAGAGTTTCACTTGAAGCATCGCCTCGCTGTGGCCCTTTAGGTACAATCTGAGCACATTCCCTCGCCCTGTCCAGCTGGGTGCGAGCTGTCTCCAGAAACAACCAAGACTAAACCCGGTTTTGGACAGTTGGTGCAGATGCAGCGCACGGGCCGGGGACCTGCAGAAGTCGGGGTGCACGCGTTGCACAGGGGCCCGGGGACCCGCAGAAGTCCCGGGGTGGACGCCTCCCAGGGGCTGGAGACGCAGAAGTCCGGTGCGACACAGCACAGGGCTGGGGAGCTGAAGAAGTCCAGGTGTGCGAGCCAGACAAGGGCTGGGGACCTGGTCACTCGCCGCACCTCGCGCTGCAGCCACTGCTGGCGCTCTGAGTAGTGTCTTCCAAGTTCCATTTTTAGTATTTTTGTGAGTTATACACACACTGCTTTGTTTTTATAAAATTATAATCATAGTGTGCAACTCTTTAAAAGCCCTTTTAAAATATTCCGTATACCATCCACATTGTTAAAAAGAAACATGATTTTTATGAATAGAAGTTATTCTGTCGTTGGGAGGAACCATATTCCTCATTTCTGGAATATTTATTTTCAATCTAGTGTTGTCTCCTCCAACAGGAAAATGAGCTAACTTTCGCTGTTGAAAGGTCCGTTGTTGAAGTGTAGTACAAACCTCTGGGTGCACTGGGCAGTAGGGAACAGTGGCCTTTCTTTATTGCACAAGTGTCCCTAGGGGAACCTGATAGCCAGAGAGTCCACTGCCTGGACACTCACAGCCTTATATTTCAGGGAAAGCCTGCTATAGCATGTCAGGGTCTCAATTCCTAGAGATCAAGGAGTATGTTTAAATCACTTGACAGGATATCAATCCAAAGAGGAAACCTTCACTTAGTAAGTGACCCTGGAGTGAGATGATGTTAATCACCAGTATATTTTAGGGGAGAACTTTGTGGAGGACTTTCTCAAGTGCTTCTCTCTAATAGTAGTTATCAGACCAATTTATTGGGAGTATTTCTTCTGGACTGTTTAGCTGTTATGGAGGTAGGATCATATGTATAAAGACTTCTCTTGCCTCATTTCACAGGTGTTCCACTCAGTTAATGTCCATCAAGTGGTTTGTTTCAATTTTCTATTGCTACATGGCAGATTCCCACAAATTTAGTGGCTTGAAACAAGACTCATTATCTGAAAGTGTACATGGGTCACATGCCTGGGCAAGTGCAGCTGGGTCCCTTCCTGGCACCTCTCAAGGCACAGTCATGGTTCACCAGGTCAGCTTTCCTTTCCGGAGGTAATGGGAAAGAATCTGCTTCTAGGCTGATTCAGAATGCTGATAGAATTGTTGCTTTCCCACACTTGCCACATTGCCCCTCAGTCTCTAAGTCGGTCATGGTGGGTCTAGTCTTCTCCTACTTCAGATCTCTTGGACTTCCCCCTCTTCCTCATTTCTCAAATTTTAAAGGTTCGTGTGATTGCATTGGACCTACTTGGATAGTCAAGGACAATCCTGCATTCATTTCCTAGAGCTGCTGCAAGAAATGAGCACGGAATGCCTTGGGCTCCAAGGCCCATGACTTTGTCCACTTATAACCAAGCCTGCTGCCCCCACAGGCTCGTGAAGGGTCCAGGGTGGGGCACCACAGCAGGAGGAGCGCCTCTGTGGCCTCCCACTGGCAAGCGGGTGTAGACCTTTCCCGGAGGAGCTCCTGCAGGGTGTCTCACATTGTGCAATCAACCCAGGAGCACACAGACAACATCCCAGGAGCTGTTGGCTCTGAGATTCTGCAGGCAAGGGCATCACAGTAATGGCGAATGAATGGTGCTTGGCAGCCGTCAGCAGTGCTCTCTGAGCTTACTGCCCAATACAGGGCCCTTCTTTGCTGATAGGAGTCTTTCCTTCCTTTTGCCCCATCCCTGCAGAGAGAAGCACAAGGAGTCCCAGCCACTCCCGAAGTGCCCAAGCCTCTGTTCCACCACTGCCGTACACCCAGAGAGCTCCTTGATGCTAGCGGTGAGCGCAGAGCCACAGGGCATGTGTGCTGAATCTAGGATGAGAACCAGATGGAGGTTCTCAGGCTCCCCCAGGAACAAGGACAGAAAATGCTTGGAATGGCTTGTTTGATCTGAAGCATTTACTTGGTCCTCGGGGGTGCTACTCATATGGGAACAAAGTGGGGGAGGGAAGTAGAAGAAAGAGTGAGGGACAGAAAACATTCTTAACTGTGGGGCTTGTATTGTGTGTGTGTGTGAGAGAGAGAGAGAGAGAAAGAGAGAAATGCAGTACAAAAATGGGCTTACTACAACAGTGATATATGTGTGCTTTAATAAAAGATACTCATGTCTGCACTCAGTGGGCTTTGAGGTGCACCAGAAAATAAAATGATGGGTGGATAATCATATGGTAAAAAAAAAAGATGCTGCAAAACTTTAACAACGATAGAACCTAGGTGTTGAGTTTTTGGGCATTCTTGTACAATTCTTTCAACTTTTCTGGATGTTTGAAATTTTTCATTAAAAAAGTGTTAGGGACTCACTGTAGGAAACTGACATGGAGTAAGCCTCAGGGCTGCCTCCTTTTGGACCCACTTTCTGCAGCTGTCTGGGAGTTTCTGGTGGGTTATTTTAAAGCAGGGTTTGTGACTATGCTAACTTTTGAAGATCACAGGTGACTTTATATTCTCTGTGGGAAGAGTTCCATCTCACCAAAGTCCCTACAGGGCATCAAAGGGAGGGCTCCTTGCAATAATTTAGAAGTAGGAAGTGGTTGGTACCCACCTTTAGTGACAGTGATATTGTCAGCAAAATCATTTTCCTTGCTTGCAACTTGGAAGTTTGGAGACACATTTAGTGGAAACTATCATGCCTCCAACCTCTCCCTACCCCAGACTCAGCCACTAAAAGGCGACCCTCACTCCAAGCCATGAGCAGATGGCCACAGACTTTTCTTTGCTGCCATTAAAACCAGGGTGACCCTATGTCCCAATTTGCTTGGGACAGTCCCATGTGACACCTGCTACCAGCCCTGACCATGTGCCTGCCACCGTGACAGACACTTGTCATTGACCGTTATGTTAAATCCTGCTAAGGATGCTCCCAGACACAGCTTTGTAGTTTCTGTTTGGTGTCCACCAGGGTGGAATCAGACCAAGCTCACCTCCTAAATGCACATAGATATTTAAGACTCTGAGAGAAGACACCTTGTTCCGTCCCACACCTAGCGGGACAAATTCTTGTCAATATTCAAGAACATAGAATACCAAATATGCACAATGACTTTTTAATGCAAAAATGGTAACATTATAGGCTTGGGTCTCTTAAATTTTTCTATACTTAAAATTTCCCAGGGTTGAAACATGCTTTCTTAAGAAAGGGAGTGATCATTCTACTTAGCTGACATGAATTACCAAAACTGATTCAAAAAGAAATAGAAAATTTGAATAGACATATAACAAACAAAGACAACCACTAATTAAATTTCTCACAAAAATCCCAGGTCCTGATGGTTTCATTGATAAATTCTACCTGATATTTTAAAGAAAGTAGCACCAGTCATGCACATCCTCTCAGGAATAGAGAAGGAAGTCGCATTTCCCACCTCACTCTGTGGAGTCAGTGCATGACACCAACCCCAGACAAGGCCATCCCAAAGAAGAATACATGAGCTGATATTATTCATGAATACAGAGGCAAATATCATTAACAAAATATTAGCAGACCAAATGTAGTTACAGAGAAACAGTATTATTACACCATGACTGAGTGAGGTTTATTCCAGGAATGCAAGGTTGGTTTAACATCTGGAAATATTAATGTAATCACCAAATTAATAAAACAAAGAACAGTAAACATATGAGCACACTGGTCAATCAGAAAAAACCATTTGACATGATAACACATCTATATATGACAAAAACAATTGCACAACCTGGGGCATGGGGACGCTCTTAATCTGATAAAGAGCACCTAAGGAGACTTACAACTAATTCACACTTAATTCATTCTGAATACTTTCCCCTTAAGATTGGGACAAAAGCAAGAATGTCCACTTCAAACTTCTATTTGACATTTTACTCAAGTTCCAGCCAGTGCAACACAGCAATATAAATTAAAGATATAGATTTGAAAATGAAACTGTATTTATTTGCAGGAAACATGCCTCTAACAAATCTGTAAAAAAAATCTGGTAGAAATAATAAGACAGCTCAATAAGGTGGTAGGATACAAAATCAATATAAAAACCTCAATTATATTTCTGTATACTGGCAAAGAAGAATCTGAAAATGATATTAAGAAAACTATTCCATTTGCAATAGCTTTGAAAATAATAAAATAATAAAACAAGTGCCAAATCTATATACTTAAAGCTATGAAGTATTGAGAGAGATTGAATGCAATCTAAATAAATGGAAAGATTTAGAATACTCATGGACAGGAGCACAAAATATTGTCATGATAGCAAATTTCCCCTAAATTGATCTACAGACTTACCATGATCTGTACTGAATTTCCAGCAAGCTTTTTTTTTTTTAAGGAAATAGTAAGCCAATCCTAAAATATATATAGAAATTCAGAGGACCTAGAGTGGACAAAATAATTTAGAAAAAGAAGCAGCAAATTGGAGAACTTACACAATCTGCCTTAAAAATTTATGATCAAACTTCAGTAATCAGGGCAGTGTGGGACTGGCAAGAAGATAGACCATACAGATCAGTGGAACAGAGTAGAAACTCCAGAAATAAAACCTGAGCAGCGGATGTTAAACAGAGGTACACAGGACAATTCAATGGGGAGAGAAATGAGAGTATTTTTAATAAAGGTGCTGAAACAATTGGATAACTATATGCAAAAAAAGAACTTAATACCCTACTTCACACCATACACAAAAAAATAACTCAAAATCAATCACAGACCTGAATTTAAGAGTTAAACTATAACACTTTAGGAAGAAAACAGAATAAGATCTTTGTGACCTTGAGTTAGGCAAAATTTTCTTTAATATGATACCAAAACACTATTAAGGAAAAGAAATAAAGCACTTGGTCTTCAAAAGTCACCATTACAAAAATAGAAACTATAAGTCACAGGCTGGAATAAATATCTGCAAACCATGTACTTATATCCAGAATATATAAAGAACTCTCAAAACTTAATAAGGAAAAACAGCCCCAATTTAAAATGGGGAAGAGATTTTAATAAACTTCACCGAACAGGATATATGGATGGCAAACAAACACCTGAAAAGGTGTTCAGCACCACTCACCATTCGGGAAATGCAAATGAAAACCACAGGAAGATAGCACTTCATACCCAGTTAGCATGGCTCAGTCGAAAACGCGAACAATGCCGAGTGCTGGGCTGATGCAGAGAAACCGAAGCCCC